GATTCGATCAATAAAGACAATATATATATATATATATATATATATATATATATACATATATTTATATGCAAAACAAACGGAACATATTTTGTTAAGAAGCATAACTCTAATTTCTTTTCATATTTTACTTGCATACTTTTTTTTCAGAGTGAGTCGCGAAAGCAGATGTGTACAAGCACACACGCATATTTAACAGGTTACTCTGCCCCTAGTAAAATTATGTTTTACGCTTATTTTTTACCTTTCGGTGGATCAGCATTGCACCATCTGCTTCTGACCGCAAATCGAGATCGCGATCCCAAGCTGCCAGGCCGCCACTTAGTTTATTTGTATTTATGCATGAATATGTTTAAACCAATACGCTGAACGCATTCCCAATCGCAGAACGATAAAAACTATTAATTTGCCCTGGGGATGGTTTCATCTATATTCTATACATATTTAATTCATTTATTTGTATTTGGTATTTGTAATTGTTAACACCAGAAAGAGGCCTGTCAGTTAGTATCTACAAATAAGTACAATGTATGTAAATACATATTTACCTGATATGTATACTTTTAAAGTGTTCTATTCATTTATTATTAAAGTACATACACACATACTACTTGTAAATTAGCATAACAAATACATTAACATATGTACACTTGTTTCTATTTAAGAAAACTATTCGTAAACAATTTAAACTCATCAAGCCACGCATTTTTTATATAAATACATTTGTATATATTAACATGAATGTGTAATTATTACCTTAGCCATTTGCCTAAATTATATACACAAGGCATGGAGAAATATAAACACATAAATAAATGTGTACATGCGTTCATACATATATGTACATATACGAACATTACAGCTTTCCAATAATAAGTATATATACATACATAAAACAAAGTTTTTGATAGACCATTTTGTGTTTTACTTTAAACATTTTTGATAAAGTCATAATTAATATGTAGATTTTTTTTTTTGACAACGCAGCAGAGGAGACATCTAAGATACAGTACAGTATATACCATACAGTCTACATGTATGTATGTATGTATATAAGTCGGACCCTGCCGGAGCGGACTGAGGTACACGTCTAGTCCGATTCAGATCGTGATGCTGATCAAGAATATATATACATACATGACTGAAAATATAACACCCTCTGCAAGGGAATAATGAGAAAATTAATGAAAAATTCGACATAATTTAGGCATTAGTATTCTGTACATCGTATTACTGACGTCGTAGGATAAACAAAATGAAAAACTGAGGTTCATATCAGCACACAAGCTTCGGCTCGTTGGAGTTTTGTCTTAGAAATTACATATTATATTAAAACATACCATACCAATACTTATTGCTTGGGATTACTTCAAATTTAATCCATGGATAATGTACATTTGTTTAATATGTTTAACTAGTTTGGGTGTTTGAACACCTCCATTAAATGCAGGTTTATATATATGTACATGTGTATTTACAAATAAAACTACATAGTACATAGGCGAGCGAGATAGGAGAAAGATGCGCGCATTGTGTTTATTAATTTATAAGTATTAATTCGTGCAGGCTCGCCGCAAAGCACCGTTATGACATACAAACACCGCACCATCCGAGCTACATAACGGTTATTTTCACATATGAACTTATGTGGACGCATACAACTGCTTTGGGTCTGGGTCTTTGACAATTTGGGGGTTTGTCCTTTTCTATAAAATTAGAGTTGAAAGTAAGTTCAAATCTGGTTCCGTTTTTTTTAAGCTATGTTAGTCATTTTCTTAAAATGAGATGAAATTTACTTGTTTAAGAAAATTTTTTTGTTTTAAGGTGAATTGTTTTTGTATGGGATTCACTTTGTGAATGAACTCTGGCGATCGTTAGTTTACAAAATTGAATCTTTGAAAAACAAAAGAAACATGGAAACTTCCTTACGGAAGTCCTGGGAGCGACCTCTTTGCCTGAGATGCTATTAATCAGTACATGGTTACCTTCTAGACTACATTTCTACATTTTTCGATCGAATTTCTAGGCCTAAGATAACGCTAATACTTTAATACTGATTTAAAATAGTAACTTTGGAATTATCCTACGTATTACTTTAGATATCCACTTCCATCGTAATTATTCGTAGAAATGTATCTTAAGATCTAAGGAACTAAATGAGCTATAGTACTCCCATTAATTATGTAGACTCGTGTTATTCGTACGCAGCGCAGGTTTATTAAATTGTTGGCCACGCCCGCAAGAATGGTGACGCCCAAATACGGTATTTTTTTTTTTTGTTTGGTTTCATGAAGTCAAAGGCGCATGCCACACACCTTGGCGAAGAACAAATTTGGTGAGCAGCTTTTTTGTCGAAATTTCCCTGTGAGTTCGCCGCCAAGGTCATCCGATTTAACGCCTCTTATTTATTTCTTGTGGGGTAATATAAGGTCAGTAAATAGTATATGTGAAAAAGCCGAATTTCACTTTACAGGATAACATATGCTTAAAAAATTGACGAAAAATTGTAAACTTCGAATGGTCCATTTGAAACCGGGGACAAAATTTACGTATTTTACACGTTAATGTCAAATATGATGTTAACAAAAAAACTACGCTTAAAAAATCGTTCCTTGGTATCTTAACACATGAGCTTCGCTTCAGGCTTGGGAATAATATTTAAGAAAATCGATAGAAGTCGATATGCTTTGGTCAAAGCACTTGCTAAAATCGATTAAACAGCAGCGGTTTCAACTTACTTTATAAACAAGTATGTGTGTGTATGTATGTATGTGTTTTAAACATGCTGCAAATACATAAAGGCCCGCCTATGTACATACAAACTTACATTCATTTAAATCTGTTATGTTTTGACAGTGTGTTTGCCGGCTGTTTATGTGCTTTGGGAGTTGCTTACGTGTATGTGTTTGTATATAGGAAATGCACATAAGCATTAAAATGCACACTGCTGCACCGTGACGACGACCAGAATGCAGCCAGATTGCAAGCTCACAGTGGCCAGTGCAGCCCATAGCAGAAGCTAGACAGAAACAGTCTGGAAAAGTGTGGGGGAGCACACTCGGGCGGGTGCGAGGGAGATAGCAGGATGGCAGGACAGGGGTGCCAAAGAGGAGGCCTTGAAGCAGACATTAAATCATGCACGAATTTGCATACCACCGACCAGGTCCCGTCCCGGCTCTGGTGCGGTTGCAGCAGACAGCAACAACAACAACAACAGCGAGCAGCGAGTAGGGTGGTTGCAGTGGTCATCACGGCTGCATCGCCACCTAGCTGCACATGTATATGTATAAGGGATGTTACTATGGAAAGTGCAACGATGACCGGGCCCACAGCGGACGAACTGCGCCGAGTGCAACCAAAATAGCACTGGCCGCCCCTTCGCGTATACGTGTGAGCGTAATCAGTTGGCGGGGGTGGCGTAAGGGATGATGATGCAACGAAAACGCATCTGAGCTGCGGCATGGGTCAGACATACATGTTTGGCTCACACACACACACACACACGCACACGCACACTCACATTTTAACCATGAACGAATCGTCTGTGGGCAACGACAGCATGCAGTCCCATGCACTTGAAAAAACTACAGTCGAGTCCCGATAATTCGTACTCCGCTAAATCGAAAATCGCGATAATTCGTAAAAAAAATTCTGTTCCCTTGAAAAAAAAAAATCCCTTGAAAAAAATCTCGATAAATCGAATTCCCGTCTAATTCGTAAAAAAAGTGATCCCCTTGCCATTTCGAATTATCGGGATTAGACTATGGCTGCTAATGCGAATACTTATTCTAATTCTCCGTATTGTCAAATGATTCGATTAAATTTGAGGCTACCCCTATTGACCCAACCAGGGTCACCAACTACTTCGATCCTTGCAACCACAGCGATAAAGTTTACCATATAGGTTTCTCTGGTTTCGTCGAATTTTCCATTAATGTGCTCCTTTCTATAGCAGCCATTTGATATCGTTGTTCGATCCTCAAATAAATAACTTGTTAATATCTATTGTCGGAACGAATTGCTTAATGTAAAGTACTTTTCTAGGTATGACATTTTGTAAATCTTCCGAATTTACTGAAGTTTAATTAGTATTTCAAGAGCCGTTGTGGGATACAATTATATTTTAAGGTTTTATTTGCTAATGTTCGGCTCGGTGTACATATACAGGTTTCTTACTAGGACACGTAAAACTTTTCAAAACGTATTTATTGCCCAGAAGTCCCTTCAGTTATGGGAAAAAATAGTACACACTTGAATTCGAAATTCAAATTCAAAAACGCTTTCTCGGACGATCGCTTTTTATACCCGTTACTCTTAAATTAAAACGATAAACTATATTTCTCAAAAAGTATGGTACAGTTCTTAGAATCAGAATCGCATTATCAAAAACAGATTTGTATTTGTTGTTGTAATTTGTATTTGATTTGCCAAGCCCATTTTTACGCCCATCAGCCTTACCCGACACCGGCATCTAAGTCAGCGTTCTCCCTTGTTTAATTTAAGATAGGGAGAATAGGCCATAGGCACCTTGTCCTATTAGGCACCATAGGCACCTTAGCACTATTCATTTGTAAAACGGGATAGAAAATAATGTTTGAGGATAATTGTCAGTGTGTCTTAAATGTTTGACTAAAAAGTTTTAAAACATAATCCAAATTATTAAAGATGTGTGATCTATTTTTGGATTTTTTTAAATCTCTATAACTAAGCCATATAAAACAGCAAAGTTTTTCCGAATTGTCCAGCCTTTAAAAGAAGGTAGTAATAGTAGTGAGGATATGTTTGAGTACATCACGAGCATCTCTCGAATTATTTTTGAATGTAATAGGAATTTTATTTCAGTGTGAAACTGCAACTGCAGTTGCCGAGAGCGCCGGCGCTGGCTTCCTGTCCGAGTGCAAGGACCTGAATCTACATCCGCTGCATTCGCTGCTGCCGCTTCTGTCACTTTTTGTTTAACACACACAATTTTTATCTTATAATAAGCATACCGCTGACTCCCAGTCATTCCCCTTCGGCACTCCGATTGTCCCTTCTCCAGATACAGCTCTCCAAACCACGTATTACCGGGGCAATGATTTTTATTCTCAATTATTTTGGATGCGGCACTCTCAAACGCAATATTCCATGGAGTAGAACAGCCGACTGCGGATCGACTTGACCTCGCGGAGCATTTTTATTTTGTCAAATGTGCATTAAAAGTTATTTTAAAAAACTGTGGATTGTGATCAAATTGAAAAGAAAAAGAAAAATAAAAAATTTGTTATGATAGATAAAAAAAAGCATCGCACAATTGAACTGCTCAGAAAATGATATAAGAAATTATTGGGCAAATTAATATGTGTGCTTGCTTCAACCATATTTGAAATCTGACAAACCCTTTTTCCTTTATATAATTTCAGATCATCATAATTTTAACAAAAACAATAGACCAAAAAACGTTTTTTGTAAAGAAAACTTCAATAAAAAACTCCGTAACAAGCGATACATCATACATCTTTACCCAACTAATCCATCATTCAGTTTTAAACGCAATAGAACAGACGCAATTAATTCCCTAATTTCTCTAAACACATTATTGAAACGGAACAACAACAACAACTTAAACCTTATCACAAAACCAAGAAAATTAAAACAACTAAATATATATAACCCAACATTTAAGTCGACCAACGAGAAAAAGCCACTAAAAATCAAATTTGAAACGAGAAAATAATCTACAACAACCGAATGTGTTGCTAAATTGAAATCAAAAGTACAAATTCGCATAAATTACAAATACAAACTCCAACTCAAATCGAAATCACAAACAATTTTACGCAGAAAATACCAATTTTTAAATGATTTAAGTAAGGGATTGCGTGTAGTTTTAAATAAAATTGAAGCAGGCCACGAACCAACAAACTATTAATATCTTTGTGTGTATATATTTGAATAGATTTTTTATTGTATAGCTAGCTAACATTGTATACTAAGAAATTTGTGCTTTTAGTCTAACATAAGGTTACCATTAAGGATAATCTTCCACAGCTACAAAATACGTTCCCCGAATGCTTACCCAATAAACACTGACACCGGAACATACAGTTTTCAATACCACATACCATACAGCTAGCATTTGAAAAAAAAAACAGGATATACATACGAAGTTCTGAAATCTTGGACAGATATAAAACTAATATAGAGAGCAATACGTACAGTCAAATTTATCTCGTATTCACTTAATGCTACAAAATAAGCCATAAGCCACTACAATATCATATTTCAGTAAAATAAACTAGACTTTGAAGTTGTATTGTACAAAATTATATATTTTTATAAGCCATAAGCTTGATAATTAATATTATTCGGCAATATAAATAAGAGAGGTATTGGGTAACAAATTGTGATGTTTAAATCTACAAAAATGTAATGCTTATAACGAACGAAATGCGAATAAAATCGAAACCTATTTAACTCCATGTTTGGAGAGACGCTAATGGAAATTTGAGAGTTACACCGAAAATAGGAAATATTAATGAACTTTTATAACCAATATACCGCGACACCGTAACGTGTGCCTTAGTCCGGCCTTATGTTTAAATATGTTTCAACAAGACGTCAAAAATAATTGATATTAAAACTAACCATAAACCATAAACCATATTAACCATAAGAAAAATAAAGCAGAATTAAGATATTCGATGCACTGTTCTCGTTCGGTCAACTTTCATCGATTGCATGGCACAGACACCACACAATGATCACAAGAGGAGCATTACAAATTTAAAGGTAATTCTTTTTCTCAAAAATGTATTTCCCAAATAAGAGTTAAGCCTCAAAGAGGAAATCTAAGCAATTACAGTCGAATCCCGATAATTCGAAATGGCAAGGGGATCACTTTTTTTACGAATTAGACGGGAATTCGATTTATCGAGATTTTTTTCAAGGGAACAGAATTTTTTACGAATTATCGCGATTTTCGATTTAGCGGGGAACGAATTATCGGGATTCGACTGTACAAACTTGGCGATCAATCGAAGCTCCTAAACCTCATGTAACGGTATAGGCATTTACCGTTTGACCCTTGGTCGTTTTGTCCGAGTTGCTAAATAAGAGCAGATGAAAAGAGAGCTTTGAAATCCGTGCAAAACAGGCGCTGCTGAGCAAAGATGCCGTTAGATGGTGTTAGTGGACACGAAGACGACACGAAGACGTTTTGCCGAAGCTCTTTCAGCTGAGTCCAGAAACGAAGATGTTTGGCTTACTTTGCGCCGCCAACGAGGACGCTGGCGATGACTCGACTTCAAGCCGACTCCACTTTTGTGTGTGCAAGTTCTATTTCTAAACGAGACGTGTCTGAACCCCAGCAACAGTCATATTTATACTTGGACGAGGCGAGGGCCAAATTAGTTTTTCTATGACTCGCGCGCCGCCAGGTTATCGGTTATCTGTATTTGTTTACTGCAAGAAAATTCCAAGTCTCAGCTCTCACCGTCACCGTTACCGTAATACCGTAATCGCGGCCGTGAATAAAACGTTACCGTTATTTTATTCGCCCACTCATATAGCCTCTTGAAGAGGTAAAAGCGGACGAGAAACGAATTAGTTGAAAAACTTAAGAGAACTCACTTATTTATTTATATACACATTAAGCATTTAGCAGCAAATATGTGCATTTTTTGTTGCTTTTAATTTGTTGCTCGCTAGTTCGCTAGTTTTTTAACAAAAGCCACACACCTTCAAAATTTGTACCGAGTTAAAATAAGGGGCTTTCTTGGCATATTAATGTTCTATAACTCTATTGAAACGGACTCGATGCTTCCCCTTCTATTTACAGTCTGCGTCGTGGTTGTAACTATTTCATTGGTGGTACGTAGCGAAAAGTACATATCAATAAAGAAAATATCCTTATGCAGACTTAAAAAAAGTTGAACATTTAAAAAATGTTAAAAGTTAAAGGATAACCCATTACACAGTTTACCGCTCGGGTATTCAATTTGACGATCATGAATAACTGTTTTAATGACAGAACTTTCAAATGCAGTGGCTTCACATTTTCTCAAACTTGTTCAACAATTTGTTTGCCTTTCGCAAAATAAACATCTATAAACATTTGTAAACATAATAATAAAGGTTGCAATTAAAAGGATACCCTTGCAATTAAAACTTTTGTGTGTAAAACGACTAAATTCATCACAAATTTATCATAACAAGATTCTTCGTACTCTTAGTTCGATCCTTAACAAGTCAGAGATAAAGAAGTACTATAATTTAATTTGGTTTATTTCTATGACCGCCATATGAAATTCTAGTCAGATCTCTATTAAAATAACTTTATAACGACGATATTATAATATTGTTCATTAGTTTTGAAGAGTTTGGATCATTGATTCAGTCATATGGATTTTTATTAAATTTATAATGAGTTTTAAAAGTGTACAAAAACAATATCTGTCAAAAATAATGACCGTATGATGGAAATCAACGGCGTTACAATTTGTGCCCTTTATTTTTTTGCCCTTGAAGAGCAAAGGGTATTATTTTTTTACCTTTTTGGAAGCTTTATGATATAGTCATCTGATCCGGGCCGTTTCGACTTTTATACTTCCTGCTATGTTTGGGTAAAACTTCAGCGAGGTAACTTCAATACTAAGAGACATTAAAACAGACAGATAGAATGACGAACTTGCTAGATCAATTAAATTGAAGAATATACAAATACTCGATTACCTTATTGGATGTGAAGAGTCTCCTCAGGATTAGGTGCGGATTAGCTGTCCGATTTTTGAAATCAGAAATACAGTAAATAAATTTCTTCTATATATGTTGTCTCTGCAAGACGTTTGATCCCGGTTGGCTTAATATAGAATAAATGCTTTCTGAAATAGCAACAAGTTTCTTAGTGAAGTTTTGGTGAGATCGCTTTGAAGCCGAGATCCTAGTCTCATAGAAACAGACTGGCAGAAAAAAACGAAGAGACCGACATGACGATATTGATTTGTATGGACAAGCTGATTAGAATATATTATATATTTGTATACACAATATGGTCGGACATGATACAGTAATAAGCTCTGCAAAGTTTTAAAAATATGAACTAAATTTTCAAAATCACGTTCCACTAAATGATGTCACCAGGATGGATTGGTATACGTATTTTTAAATTTTATTTTTTTTAGTTAGGCAATAGCCAAAACGTTATTTCTTATATACATACCCTTGCAGAGGATGATATAATTTCAGTCAGAACGCAGCAACGCAGAGAAGAGAAAACACCCCAGACCCCATAAAGAATATTCTTGATCAGCATCACCAACTTTTCCAATAGGTGTGTAGTTATTACACGCAGCTAGTAAGTCGGAACGGCCGGATAGGTCCAATAGGAAGGATATAAAAAAAGGAAAAAAAAAGCCGCAGACACGCAAATTCTCGTGATGAACACGCAGCATACTAACTTTTATGAAAAGTGCCACGCTCATAAATATAGTTTTGCCGGTACACCATTGTGGCCTAATCCGCAGCAATGGGGCTTTTTAAATTTGCCACACCTTCTCTTACGCATACCAGTTTATGCCCTTATAGACGTCGAGATCTTCAAAAGTTGTCACGCCTTTCGAAAATGTTTACCGTTAAATTAGACTCTAACAGTTAAGTTGTCTCTTTTTTATTTTATTTAGCTTTGCGGTATATACGCCGATATTTTTGGGATTAAATTTGCAGATGATTATAGTGATGAACATCCAGCGTTTTTGAAAACACTGAAACTTTATATAATTTTCAGTTATGGTTTCTAAATGAATTTTAAATCCAAAATCGAATATCAAATTACTAAAAATAAAGTTAGTTTCTTCTGATTTACGATATGGCAATTTTATTCGATTTTAGTTACCAAAAATTATTTTGTTAAGATCGGGCTGCTACTTCATATAAGTAGCTGCCATAGAAAAAAAAACAAAGATATGATTCTTTTTGTTACTTAACAACTAATGAAATAATATTTTTTAATAGTCCTTAACCCTTACAATAAAGTCGTTCTTAACGGTATAATTATATATATTTTTGGTTTTATTACGCTTTTTAAACCTTTATCCAACTTGATCAAGTTGTTATGTATGTATATTCTTTACTTATCTTTTTGTGTTACAGGAAGTGACATGATATGAAAGCAAGATGCTTTAGCCAAGCCCAAACCACTCACAATTGGCTTCCCACGTCCAAGTTAGGGGTCGAAAGAAAAATCCTTGTCGTTCGGGGCGATTGGCCACATCCAGTAATCTGGGATCACATTGGTCTCCTCCCGGCTTACTTGCTCCTAATAATTCAGATGGACGCCGCCGACTTCTGGCAGCAGGCACGAGGCCCGTTCGGCCTGCAAACGGCGCTTCATCAATACAATTCGGCGCCGAATCAACAGCAAACTGCCAACCACACACACTCCCTCCACCAGCAGGCCATTCCCCAGGAGCACGAGCTGGTGTCCGAAGTGCACATAGACGGCCCACCCTCCTCCGGGGGGGTCCAAGTGAACAGCAGCCCCCATCCGCCTGCCAGCACCAAGGTCGAGCCCAGCCATGTCCTGCATTCGCAGCAGCACTCGGAGCAGCAGGCCTACGGGGGGAGCGACTCCTTCCGGGGTTCGCGGTCGCCGCAGCTTAGCACCCATCACCTGCTGTTCAACGCGGCTGCAGCCGCCGCTGCGGCAGCCCACCTCAAGTCCACGGCCCTGCAGAACAACCTCCCGTCGATGGGGGACCAGGCACAGTCCGCCCTCCGGACCTACGGCAACAGCTCGCTGAACGCCTTGTGTGGGATCAAGCCCAAGCCGGAGACGGACGCCAAGCTGCCGCCGAGCCAGTCCCTCGAGGAGTGCCACCAGCCGCTGATCCCCGCGCAGGCACAGCTCTCCTTCGCCGGCGACTTCTACGACGTGGGCGAGGCGACGGCCAGGGAAGCCGCCGAGGCGGAAAGGAAGGTACTGACGATGGGATCCATCGACGAGTCGCACTCCAACCAGAATCAGCAGAATCAGCACTCAGTCCTGCACACTCCGCAATGCAAGCTGACGTCCCCAGAAACGGGAGGCGGCTCGAATTCTGGAACAGGACCCAGACCCGGGGCAACCATGATCGACAAGAGCTTGTCGCAGGGCCAGCAATCTCCACAACCCTCCAGCACACCATCCGGCGGCAGCACGACCCCCGACATTAAATATAGCAACGATAAAATGGCCAGTGAAATCCAGGTAATGTATATATAATAATGTATTTATAATAAAACAAGAAAGGAAGCTACATGAAGGCTAAATAACATCATAGCTATGTCGATTTTGCTACCACATTTCTATTTATTTTTATTTATTTATTTATTAAAGATGATGGTAAAGTTTACAAAACTAAAACTAACATAAGGGGTTGTAGTGCATCGACTACGTGTTTTTAATAGGTGAACTTAATTTAACAATATTTTCAATTTTGATTTTACTACATTTCTATATTTTAAACGGTTGTTCTATTTTAATGAAATATAATTAAATAAAAACGATAAACTTAGTGGCGAAAAACAACGATGTTATCATTTTCTTCCCGTTAATTTCCGTTAACTCTATATAGATCTTTCGATCTTTCCTATGGCCGCTATATGATATAGTTGTCCGATTTTTATGAAATTTATGATTTTTATTTTGCATTTTTTCCATTTAAGGGTACTTAAAAAACCTTGTGTTCTAAAAATCATACACGTGGGATAAAAAACAACGACGGTGTCATTTTTTTGCCATTATTTATATACTCTATGCATATATTTTTCGATCTTTCCTATGGCAGCTATATGATAAGTATATTTATATTATTTAATAATTTTTCGGACTTATGAAATTCAACATTTGCAGTGTCGAAATAGATATTGTCGTCTGATCCTAATAAATTTATTGTTGTGAACTATATTGAAATCTTTTTTTTTTAATTGTTCTACAAATTTTTTTCATATTTTTTTTTTAGATTTTTTATTTTTATATATTGATCTAAAGGAACTGTTAAAGCACAGGGAAATATGCATACGAACACATAAAACAAGCGTAAAGATAACATTTAGAACGCTTTTGCGGTTGGGTGGCTTAGTTGTTTAGAACTCGTTTAACAAGTAAGATTGATTTTTATACTCTTGCAAAGGATTCCTGGGAGGTATATATATTCTTGATCAGCATCACCCATATATTTTCTAATATAGTAAATAATAAAGCTGCCATAGGATAAAATGTAAGAAATATATAAATTAAAATTCAGGCTTTTGCCTTGATATATGTATATCCATTTGCATTGGACTTGGGGTACTAAAAAATCTTGGATTAGAATTTGGTCAAGTCCAGTTTATAAGCTAAGCTATCGTTGAAGCTATCTTAATTTCTCGTTTTATACATTATTACAATAAACAAATGTACAAGACTTATTCAACCTTAAAGAAACAATTGATGAACTTTAAGTTTGTTCTTGGAAACAGGACGATCAGTGAGAAATTTTAAATTGATAGGTTTACTCGAGCATGGAAACGGAATAAAAACAGCCGGAGTATCTATATCTATAGAGTACATTTATATTTCTTTTCTAAATAAAATAAAATTTTTTGGACTAGGTATACCATTTATGTGACCTGTATAGGGCATGCTTATTGCCAACGGCCTTGAAAGTTTTAGTGTTCCCACTTTTACATGAAAGTTTTAAAGTGTGCCCCTTTCAAGCACTGATATTTTTTCATTTTAGAGTTGGCCTTTTCAGTGAGTTTTTCTAATTTGTACTCTCTTTGCATTATATTTTCAGAAATTCTCTCTTAATCTCTCAGTTTTTAAGAGCAGTCCTAAACAACCCCTTTCACTCGAGGGAAATTTAAAAAGCTTGCTTCGTTCCAGCCCAAAAGGGGTTATATACTTCCATTAGATGGTTGGTCAAGTATCAAGTATCGACTTTGGAATTTTATAATTCTGGTTTTCTCTACCAATCTACCAATCTGGCCGCTTAATGAGCTTACGCGAAAGAAGTCCCTCTTAGTAAAATTGGGTTCTTCGTGCACCTAACATTTTTGCACCTTGACAAACCGCTTGAGGTGGGGAAACCGTTGGAAATTCGTAAGGGGTAAATGAAATATGGGGGAGGATTCGTTGAATTACTATACTAAGGCAATGAGAGCGCAGAAGGATGGAAAGAGGAAAGAGAAAAATGTGGTCTTATCCTTGCTTAGATTTTGCTATACTTTTTCTTGAAGTAACCACCATTGGGAGCGAGGCCACGTGTGTGAGAATCTTCGGCTCGGTTTCATTTTATAATAAGTGGCGGGTACGGGGCAGCAAATGGGGTTGCAAGTTCAGGTTCAGTTTTATTGCACACATAAAAATATAAAAGTCAGTTTACCGTTCAGTTCACTGTTCACTGTTCCTAGTAAGCTCTAAAACTGCCATAATTTTTGGTTTCCTTGTACTTCTTCTTCTTCGTCTTCGCTTCTCCTTCTCTTTTCCTTCTAGCGAAAGAGCAAAGAGAACGCAAGATGTCATTCCTTTGAGAGCTTTTCCTTTCCTTTGTTGAGTTGTACAACTTATTCGGTCTTGTTTCCTCAAGAAAACAATAATAACGCATAGAGAAAGAGACGCCGCATTTGAAGCTCAAGTGCGACAGAGGCATAGACGACGTCAGCGATGACGACGACGACGCAAAAACAGGATAGTTTAAGAAATACCCCCTGGCACTCACGCAGTGTCCCGTTTGCTGATATTAATTCGCCGAGCCGGCAGAAGTTCAAAGGACATCAGACCGTAAGGTTGTGTGCTCCGGTCTGCCTCGCGTAACTATATATCCTGCGAAACTAAAATCAGTTCGTTCGTGTGCCAGCTATTTGCTATTTGTTTTCGCGAGCCAAAGTCATTTCGGTGCACAATTACACCAATGAACAATCGCGAAATGTCTGCCCATCTTTAAATTAAAACAACTCAGATGAAAAGCTGTTTTTAGTGCTGATGTAAATATTCGGTCTGCGGCGTTTTGAGCAACATGAGCCACCAATGAAGCAGTGCAGCATAGCTCGCGATTCGATTGATCGGAAGAATGAACCGTTATAACTCCCAAAGCAAAGAAAATTTATAAAAAATACCGCAAGGGAACTGTACTGTATTTGTTCCCTTCCGTTTCGTTTCGTTTCACGATCGGCTATCTCAAGATCATAACGCATACAATGACACTTGACTGTGAAAAGGAGCACGATGTAATTTTTCATTTTCTTCCCATTCACCACTTTTAAGTTGTACTCATATAACTCTATTGGAAAGGCTTTTGAATGTGATAATTTTCGTTTAATTACAGTCAGGGAAAAGAACCGAAATTGTTTTTAAGTTACACCATGTTTACCTAAATCGTTTTGAATTAAACACATACATAGACGGGTTTTTTCAAATTGTATATAACGAAAAACACAAATTTTTCTTTATAATGTGATCATCGTGGGAAAGGCTGTTGGAAACAGGGTTCATATGTACATATATGGATATATAATGACCAGTTTCCCGCCATCCAGTAGAGAATATAAGTTTGAAAAGAAAAAGTTTTTATGCCCAGCAAATATGGCATGAAAAACAAACGGTACATAATAGAACAGAATAGAACAGCTTAAAAACACACAAATGTATAATACATAAGAGTGTCTTGTGTAAAAAAATGGATTTTACTTCGTTAAAAACTTCTGAGCAAAGTGGAATGACAGTGCGTTAGACAAAGAAATAAAATGAGTTGCGGATTGAAACGATTTTCTTATTTTTTAAACACAGTGTTTTAATATTTAATTATACTCTAATGAGCTTTTGAGAAATAGGAGAACTTGTAAGCTAGCTCTTTGAATAAATGCTAGCTCGCCTTGTTATAGTTTTCCCCCATAATCGCAGAATAAGTGACACTAATAATGTACTCCTATTTCTTTCAGCTTCAGCTTTCCCGGTCGAGCAGCGCAGCCGCGATCAGTGAACGCACCCTTGAAGAATGTTGGTCAACCCTGCAACGAGTGAGTTGGCATCTGTTCCGTTGTGTATAGTACTCTTCCTCGTCAAAGACACATGTACACGGCTGTAGCACAGCACAGCACACCACATCACCGAACACGAACAAAAACAGTCAATTTTCGAAGATACCCACAAGTCCGAAGAAGCGCGTTCTGCGGTCAAATATGTTAATGGGAGGAAGCACTTTGTTTCTAGGGAAGAGTCTTTAAGTTGAAGTTTGATTTTAGTTTAGTTTAAACTCTAACACAATAATTAAATAAAAATTTACTCATAATCAAATAGTTCTAAATATTATTAAAGGTATTTCCATTTAATGAGTAGTAAGTCACATTTACTATTTAAAACCTTTTCAAAGGAAAGTCAGGCGTCAGCATTCTTTTTATTCTTCCTGGTAATTTTTATTTCTAAAATTACGTTTACAATATAGAATTAAAGTACGTTTTCACATGAAGGAAATTTTTCTGTTTTTATTTTTGAACCAATAAAATACTTTATAAATTAATTATATATGAAAGCAAAATTATGCACTCCCTTATTTTATTTATTCTTTCATTGTAAGTCTAATTTAGATATTACTATTAAATCTTAACATTATGCATTTTGTTCTTTGCGTGAGTAGCATGTTTTTAGCTATAAGTACGTCTTCTTCTTCTTCTTATGAAAAAAGGTTTCGGGAACTGTAAATATGCTTTCTAATAAGAACTTCATACATATGTATGTGTGTAAGAAAGCTGTCCATTTCTTATTCGGCTTCGCATATATTATACAAAGCAGACGTATTTAAATGTTTTAAGTGAAACGTATGACAGTCAAGTTTGTATAACGCTTGACAAAAAAAAAAAAAAAAAAAAAAAAAAACGTCTATTAAATAAATGATATTGTGAGTTAAAAAAAACACTATTTTGTTCTTTTTATTTTATTTCATAATTAATAAATTATTATTTCATTCTCTTAAATTTTCACACACTTAAGATAAAACTAAGATCATCCGAATCTGCAACAAAGAGACTATGGAAGAAGCTTAAATATTATTTTTAGCGTTGAATGGAAGCGAATCTTTAGGGATTTTCGATCTATATGAAATCATAACTTTTTTGGTAAAATGTAACACCTAGGTATGTTATGCTGCTAATTACGAGCAGTCAAATATAATCTTTTTTATGGTCATTATTATAGGGTACGATAATGGAAAAAAAATTATATAATTAATTCCAAGAGCATGATTTTCAAAACATGGAGTTTTTTAATAACCCTTGATTTGAGAAAAAAATTTCATTAAAATCCGACAACGTTATTATATAGCTGCCATAGGAGCGATCGAAAAATCTATATAGAAATACGGGAAATAAAATTATAACATCGTTGTTTTTCATCAGACAAGCATGATTTTTGGAATATAGAGTTCTATATTCAATCTTGAATTACATATTAAATTTCATCAAAATGGCACAAATATATCATATAGCTGCCATACGAACAATGGTCGAAAATATGGAAAATGAATAGAAAAATAGTAATAGTTTCGGCTTGCCGAAGCTAGCTTCCTTTCTTGTTTTTAACTTCTAGTAAACTCTTTTAAACCTTTAGGGAACCTTAATATATTTAAAAAAAAAGAGCTTAAAAAACTGTACAGCACGCAACAGAGCCAAGAAAAAAAGAATGTTCCATATAATAAGCGCAACGTTCGACCTTCCCCCGATTTTTGTCCTTTACTACTAAGGCGCAGATATAAGCACGCTCGTTGTCTTTGCTTACGTGTCTGTGTGTGTGTGTGTGTGTGTGTGTGTGTCGGTACGAAATCGCACTCAGCCGTACAAAATCATTTGTCCACCCCTCACGTTTTTTGCAACCATTTTTATTTCACTCATCACGACCGCACGCCGAGCGAAACGAAAAGAAGCAGAAGCGATGGTTACCGCCTCCTGCTACCCCTAAGATAGAGCGAAAGGAGCGAAAGGTCCGGTGGACCTATGTAAGTCCATCCCTCTTTCGGTTTGAGTTCCTCCTAGCACTAGGGTCGAACGGTGGCAGTGGCGGTGGCGGTGGGAAAAGAATGCGAGGCGAAAGAAAACAAAAACAGAAATAAAAACGAAAACGAATGAAGAGGGTAGGTGGGTTTTTAAAGGGGAACTAGTACATACATACACACATACATAAGTATTCAAAATGCATGTATGGGTGCTTGGCGGGGCTTCCTAAATGCTCTCTCTAGTCTGCCTTTCCCTCTTTCTTTGATGCTTCTTCTTACTTGAAGTTTTTTATTAAATTGAATTTGTGTTGTCTTCTATATTATTTATGTATTTTTGTTTCAAGAAAGTGTATTTGTAATCTTTAATATTACATAATAAATATGCATATTTTTATATTTACAAATGTTGAATGGGCCGGACAACTACATACATATATGTACTATGTATATATGTATATAGCTAGCAAAGGAAACTTACAAAAAACATACATATGTACATATGTATGTGTGTTTAAATTTAAGAAAAAATATTTGGGCGTAGTTGTTTTTTTTTAGCATGTGGTAGATTTTAAATTTTTACATGAAATTTATTTAATTTGCTAATTTTTAATACACAATAAAATTTAAAAAATTAACTTTGAGATAAAAAACAACGATGTTATAATTTTGATTAGTTATATTTTTATGAAATTTGTTTCTCCATTTCATAGTACATAGTTAGAAAACTAAATATTCCAAAAATAATTTCATTTTTTTATATATTTTTTTTTGTACTTCTTCTTCTTTTTGTAGTTCCATGAAATATAATTCGAAATTAAAGAGACCTAAGAAAATACCAATTGGAACAAGAAAGGAAGCTTATAACCCTTACATCGTGCAACTATATGATACATCTGCCATAGGAGAGATCAAAAAATATATAAAAATAATGGAAATAAATTGATAACGTCGTTATATATCAACTTTTTTAACTAGCCTTGAATTGTGAAAAAAATATCATAAAAATCTGACTACTATTATCATATGGCTGTGGTCAAAATTCTCTTTAGAATTAATGGCAAAAATAATAAAATCGTTGTTTTTCATCAGACAAGCATAATTTATTCCAATAGTTTCCTAATGTCTCTCGAATTTCGAATTTCGGCTGACCGAAGCTAGCTTTCTTTCCTGTCTCTGCAGTAAATTTCCACCACTCCTCCAGAATCACATCTTTGAGCATTTTTCCCCTCAAGAAGATCTCACAAATGCTCAATTGGGTTAAGATCAGGACTCTGGGGAGGTGTTCGCAGCTAATTTTTAACATTGTACAGCTGCCAAAGCTTGGCGTTCTATGCCGAGTGCTTCGGGTCGTTGACTCGCTAAAACCAACTAGTTTTTCAACAATTTCTTTTAAGGTGTTTTTACGATGTCGATATAGATTTTTTAATCCATGATTGACTCGATAAATGTTAATTTTCTAACGCCTCCTGCTGCCGTACACCCCCATACCATTATTCCGCTTCATCTGTGTTTTACCGTGTCAACTAAGTTTTTTTTTATTGAAGACTTCTCCACTTTTTCTCCATACCAAAATCTTCCCTTCATTCAAAGTACGCGAAATTTAGTTTAATGTTTGAAAATTCACTCGTTAGCCATTTTGTCTTTTGACTACCGAAATAATGTTTTTTTTTGGCTTTTTTATGGCTCGGCGTACAATATCATCGGAAACTGTTTTAGAAAACAATTCTCGATCTGGAGCTTCTTATTCTTATTATTCGGATTCGGGAACACTCCTTTAATTAAAACAAAACCTTGGAGTAAAATATCGTGAAGATCGCACACCTTCAACTCATAAAATAATTTTAAGTTCCGTACTCCTCAGGCTATTTAAAGGTTATATCCAGTTGCAATTTTGAAAAAATAGTTTTTTTTGCCTATGTTGAATGTATATACATATATTGAAGAATATTGTCTGAAAATTTCAAAGTAATCCGGTAAATAGTTTCGGAGAAATGGGCGTATTTGTAAAGGCTTCTCCGACGTTGTTCAAATAAAAAAATTTCTCCGAGACGACTTGACCGATTGATAGATATTTTTGTCAGATAATCACAAGAGGAATTAAGGTTCTGATGAAAATTCGATTTTTTAGTCACTTTGAAGTTTGAATTTTCGTGCCAAAAAATAAGGTTTCGGTTGGGAAGCCGCCATTTTGTCTAAAATCAAAATTTTGACTATTCGTCGTGTCAATATGATTTGTATTTATCTTTCCTTTAAGTAATCCTTTTGGTTTTTTGTATTTCTGATTAGAAGTGGGCGCGGGCCGGGCTTTTTTTCGTGGCCCCCGGGCTTACACAGGCCCGGAGCGGGCCCGGGCCTTGAAATTAAGATTCGTGCGGGCTTCGTGCGGGCCCGGGCCTTATCAAAAAGGCCCGGCCCGTAAAAGCCCGAAAAGAAAGTTGAGAAAAACGCTATGGACATAGAGCTTGACAAATATTTGGCCTATCCAGCAGCTCCTGGCACACATATTTTAGAGTTCTAGAAAAAATGCAAGGGACTTAAAATACCTTTCTAAATTAGCTCGGACTATTCTGGCTATTCCCGCCAGTTCGTCTACGAGCGAAAAGCTTTTTTCAACATCGGGCCATGTTTTAAATGAAAAAAGCACAAATTTAGAAAAAATTTAATTTTTAAATAAAAATATGACATGATTTGCTTTTATTAAATATATAACATTATTCATGTATCTATACCTTAACAAATTTGTACTTATATATACCTATAAATTGCATGTCTTTTAAATTTCCTTATATGGGCCGGGCCGGGCCCGGGCCTTGGTGAAAAAGTTTCATGTTCGTGCGGGCCGGGCCTCTTAAAAAAGAATTCGTTTTCGTGCGGGCCCGGGACTCAAAATACAGGCCCGCGCCCACCTCTATTTCTGATAATTTCGATCAGAGACATCTTCCTCACCGCCAGACACCGTTTTCAAAAGGACCTCCGGGAGATCCCCTACAGGGTCGACGGAACCCAATATTTTTATACCCTTGCAGAGCAAAGGGTATTATAATTTCAGTCAGAAGTTTGCAACGCAGTGAAGGAGGCACCCCATAAAGAAAATATATTTACCATATAAATCAAAATACCTTTGTACGTCTGTTCGTCTGCCCGTCTGTTCTATCTGTCTGTTTCTATGTATCAATGTTTACGAAAAGTTGTTTTAGTTGGAACGGGCCGGATCGGGCGACTATATTGGATAGCTCCCATACGACAGATTGAAAAATTATAAATTTACCTTCTTCACTCGACCTGGGAGCTTAGGGGCTCTACAACTTGTAGAGCGTTCATTAATCTTTGGTGTTTTCGATCGAACTGAGGATTAGCCAGAAGCGACTTATCTTAGTGGTGGTGGAGTTACCACCTAGCGCCATCTAGGAGTGGCGAATTTTTTTGTTATGTGCGGGTCCGGGGAACCGAATTTAACGTCGTTGTTTTTTATCCCACAAGCCTGATTTTTAGAATATCGAGTTTTTTAACAACCCCTGAATTGAAAAAAAAAAAATTTCTTAAAAATCGGACAACTATATCATATAGCTGCCATAGGAAAGATCGAAAAATCTATATAGAATTAATAGAAATAAATTGATAACGTTGTTGCGCTGGTCTCCGAACCAGAAGGACTGGGTTCGATTCCCATGCTCCCCCAAAAAAGAAAGGGTATCTTTTTCCATAATCTCCATAATTTCTATGCTCTATCGTTCACTTAACAAAAGTAACAAATTTCGGCTCCCCGGACCCTCACTCCCCCTCGTCCACGTTACTATGGACCCAACAACAGAACTTTTCGTCACTCCTAGATGGCGCCAGGTGGCAATTCCACCGCTATTCGCTACTGGCTAACCACCAGTACGATCGAAAACCAATGACTGTTGAATCCTCTACAAAAAAAATTGTAGAGCCTCTACGCTAAGTAAATTTTTTTTGTTTTTTATCACACTACCATCATTTTTTGAGTATCAGGTTTTTCAATTATAAAAAATTATAAAAAAGAAAGATGACTCTCGAATTTCGAATAAAATTTCATAAAAATCTGACGACTATATCATATAGCTGTCATATGAACAATCGTCGAAAATATAGACGAGTAGAAAAATCGCTATAGCTTCGATGTGGTTTAGCCTTTATGTATTAGTGATATGCTCGATGCAAGGGTATATAGTTTGCAGAAGTTGGTTTTCATACCCTTGCAGAGGGTATTATAATTTTATTCGTAAGATAGCGTCGCAGTGGAAAGGATTCTCTAGATACCAAAAAGTGTATATTCTTTATATTCGTCACTAAACAAGTTTACTAAGACCTGCTAGTCGGTCCGGCAATCGAGTCTTAATTTTCTAAAACGATATCGGTGAAACATCAAAGAAAACATGTAATGTGTAATTCAAATAAGTGAGATGTCGTACAAGCATGCATTTTGAGGCAGAGCATTTCATAGTATTTTTTTAGATTTCAGAAATTTAAATTATATTTAAAACCACCCAGGCAAAAGATCGACGCCTCATGCTACCCCCAAAGTGTCTTTGGTACCCTGTTATTTCGTCGCAATCTCATTTGCCAAGAGTTCGCAACTGCTGCTGGCCGAGTCCGCTTGGTCTGTGGTGTTTGCTGACCATTTTTTCGCGATTGCAGTCTAAGGGTAAAGGACAAAGACAGACAGTAGTCGTGCTGCTACCCACATACCTACCAGAACGAAGTAAATAAAAAGTGAACTGTGTCTCGGACAAACCCGAGTGGCAATGCAGATACGATGGAAGGTTGCTAAAGCCGTGTTACCATTGGAAACAAACCATCGCCTGCCCGGCAACCAACCAGAGAGCTGCACGAAATCAGCCTCTCCGCTTCCCTTGCCTCTACAAATTGACAAATTGACTAAATGTTTTGCCCTTTATAAATTAAAAAAAAAAACAGCGACTACAAAATATTTTATAAATTAGAAATCAGTCATTCATTTAATTTTGTATATGGTTAAGCCATACATAGAAAAAAGATGTTCTTCAAATTTATATAGGATGTAATCAAGACCGATTTTTAATAAAATATTTCAAAATCTTAAGAATTTCTTTATAATAAATCACATGTTTGTATGACTAAAATCAGTCTCTAGTTTAGCCTTATTATATACCCGTTACTTGAATATTAAAAAGCAATACTATAATTGTTGAAAAATATAAAAGAAAGAATAAATCTGTGGCGCCCACAGTTTTTCTGTTGCAACATTTAGCGTTTTCAGAAATCTGACACACCCACTTATAAGACCAGCCTTGGAGGCGTGACCGCCTTTCTGTTTAAGTGTCGACATCTTAAAGACTATTAGAGCTAAAAAGTGGGGGTGACTACTCATACTCATACAATACGCCGCGAGAAGTTTATTTTATTTTATTTTCCATATTTTCGAAGACTTTAATACGACAGCTATATCATATAGTCGACCGATTTTTATGAAATTTAATATGTAATTCAAGAGTCTTTAAAAAAGTATAAATCCCAAAAATAATGATTGTCTGATGAAAAACCACGATGTTATTATTTTATTTCAGTTAATTCTACTTAGATTTTTCGATCTTTCCTATGGCAGCTATATGATATAGTTCTCGGATTTTAATGAAATATTTTTCTCGATTCAAGGGGCCGTTCAAATATTACGTAAGCAGATTTATTTCAATTTTACCCCCCATCCCGCTTGTCAGCAAAAGTAAGCAAAGCCCTTACCCCCTGCTCCTATGCATACGTAAATATTTTTCTATGAATGTATTGTTTTTAAATATTATAAAAAATATTAAAAGATTTAAAAAAAGAAAAAAGATTTAGTATGGAAATTAGATTTTACTTTCAACCCAGAGTAAGTTACAAAAATATTATAGTCTTACGAACATAATAAACTTATTTTAAATTTTTGGTACACATATTAAATATATACTTGAACGGCCTCCGAGGGAAAAATTATGCTCGTGGAATAAAAAGCAACGACGTTATAATTTTTTTTCCATTATTTATATATATATTTTTCGATCTTTCCTATGGCAGCTATATGATAGAGTTATCCGATTTTGAGCCAATTTAATCCGAAATTCGATAATAATTAAAAACCACCATCTGGCTTATATACTGCGTGCAATAACTACACAACTTTTGGGAAAGTTTCAGCAAGATAGCTTTAAAACTGAGAGACTAGTTTGCGCGGAAACGGACAGACGGACAGACGTATTTCGATTCAGATCGTGATGATGATTCAGAATATATTATATATACTTTATGGGGTCTTTTTTTGCGGCGAAATGAGTAATTTAATTTTATTAAGTTAAATGACACATTATTGTTCAACTTTTGAAAAGTATTAGGAAAGCACTTTAATGAAAAATATTTAGAAGTTAGCCTGTGAATCCTCAGAAACGCCGAGAAACAAAGGTGTTTGGCGGTGAACATCATGACTCGTTAACGGACCATCTTAACAAAAAAAGTGATATGCGTTTTAAAGGAAATATATTTCTCAAGGTAATCAGCAATTTTTTTGTCTTTTTAGCTCAAAAAATCGCTGTCAAATTACTTTTTAAAATAGAAAAAAAATTTAGATTAAAAAAAGCTCTTCCTGATTACCTGTTTATTTATGTGGAGAATTTGTGTTAAAAATTTAAAAAGGAAAATTTGAGTTCTGGTGTTCACCGACTTTTAAAATAACGTTTTCGGGAAAATCGGTTTAAAGTATTTTTACTCGTCAAAATGCGTCCAAATTCGGTCGTATAAAACCTTGTATCTCCGAAAGTTTGACTCTAATTGACTCAAAATGCTTAAAACCTTATCCCCCTTAAAATATAATACCCTCTGCAAGGGTATAACGGGTATAACGGTATAACGGTATAACGGTATGCAACGGTATAAGTGAAAGGGTGCTAGCTTCGACAAGCCGGAGAGATGAAATAAAAGAGGTTTTTATAAATGTCAATTTGCCGTGTTAAAACCTGATTGGTATCATGGTTTTGGCCCCAATGATAATTTACCAAAAATCAGCAAAACGAATTCTGACCTCACAATTACACTTCATAGTTTAAACTTTTTATTTATTTTATTTTTCATAAAAAGTAAGCAATTCTGCTGACGCGGATTTCACTTGTACGACATGCACCGGTACACATTTTTATATAAAGCGCACAAAAAATGGAGAAGTGCGACAATTACCGCAGCAGGTAGATAATAAAATTCTTTAAATATAACTAGCGATGACAGACGCACAAACAGAGCTTCCCAAAGTTTTTAAATCAATGAATCTTGAGGGTAAGGTGTACACTGCTTACAGCGAAGAGTTTATTGCGTAATTGTAAAAATGAAATGGAACCTTCTTAAACGTGATTGTAATTGTAATTGCAGCTTTTTATGCACAAAAGCGCGATGCAGCAAATACAGCAGCAGATCCCCCGCGTCGGACTAGGAACCCACGGAGTTGCCGGCACGGCTAACTTGAGTGGCGGCATCACCTCCGGATCGGACACCAAGCCGCACCAGTGCCAGCAGTGCATGAAGAGCTTCTCCAGCAACCACCAGCTCGTGCAGCACATCCGTGTCCACACTGGGGAGAAGCCTTACAAGTGCTCTTACTGTGATCGTAGATTTAAGCAGCTGTCGCACGTCCAGCAGCACACGCGCCTGCACACAGGTGAGTCATAGGCAGTATTGCCAACTCTGAATGGTCATTTATAGCAGTTGGAGCAAAAAAAAATAGCCAAAAATAGCTAAATTTCTTCAAAAATAGTAAATTAAAATAGACGTTTGATGGTCGACGGTTTTTTAGTCGACTATAAATAAATAAATAATATCAAATATTACAAATTATTTAAAATAGCACATTTTTTTATGAAATAGCCAACATAACAGGCTCCTGCAAAATTGAGTGGTTTCTAGTTTTAGGTCATGGAAAATAGCCAAATCTTTCCAGAAAATAGCCAAGTTGGCAACACTGGTCATAGGACGCACACTAGCATTCTTTCACCTGATGGCTATTTTCAAGTATTCGAATTATGTACAGTAAGCATTAATATACTAAAAGAAAACTAGTTTAGTGATACAATCAGGGTCTTTTCTCTTCAGTGGTCGCAGCAAAAGTGATCTTTATTTCATCATCTCTGTCAATGCTTAGCCTATTTCACACTCTCGTATGTGCAAGAGAGAGACGTACATACATAGAGATGGGTTAACATGGTGTTTCTTAAAGGAGTAAGGGAGACATAAAGGATGACAGTGTTATGGGACTTAACTTAAGGAATGTACAATAACATTAACTGCTTATCAAGTAGTGCTTAAAGATAGGTATATGTACATAGGGCTGCTTGCTACAACTGGGATATCAATATTTAACCAAACTTGAAGAAATAATGTTATTTTCGGTCGCCGAGCTCAACAATTTGCAAGCTATTTCTAATTATTTTAATTGTAATTACCGAAATGATGCAAAGTCTTCTTTAATAATTAAAACGGGAAATGGTCCCGTGTTGCTGACCTTGGCCTGCGTCTTTTTCTTAAAAATGTCCATTTCGTCTCCGTAACACATCTCTGCAGCCTGCATAACCAGGGGTCGGCTTTTCAAATGACAAAGATAATTAAATCAAGTTGGAGAGCTTTTTGAGTCAGTAGCCGACACCCTACCATCCTACAACCCTACCACCCTCGCAATCCAGTTTGGATTCAGGAAGTTTGTTGACTCAGGACCAGGACAGCTGTAGGGGATGAATGGAGGAACGAATCTGGAAATAGAGAAAATATTCAACGTCATTAGCCGCTTTCAATGACATTTTCGTTTTTATATAAGCGAAAAAGTATTCAATCCGGTTCCGCCGTTTACCACTCCTTATTCACACCTGATTGCAATTTTACAATTGCTATTTATGATTTTTATTATTTCGCATTTATTCTTTTTTTGAAACAGAAATTACATGCGCTTTAATTGAAAACTTGTTTACTTAAGCCCAGTAATAGGAGAGGCATAGGCAGCAAAGTAATTCTACCTTTTTGGATTGGGTAATTACACCATACAGGGTCTCAGACCGACCGGTTTCTTAAACGCCGGCGGATCGGTGGGTGGGGTGGGGTGACCTGGGATAATGGATAGCGAAGGCCATTAAGCTGGGAAAGGCCCCAATGTCGCTGGAGCTGAAGCTGCAACCAAGTCCAAACAGTCTTTAAGGCTCTTAAAGTGACGGGTGAAATGAAGTGCCCTTTGGGCAATGGCTACGTGACTGCAAGGTGTGAAACTGTAGATATCCGAGCCCCTTTCTCGGTGAAGGCTTCTGCCTGGACTCAAAGGATGGGGCTCGACCGCAGTTCATCTACACGACTGCACTTTGTAGCTATTTATTTGTACTTAATATAACTTGAAGCAAAGTGACACTAAGTAGCTTAAACGTTTTTAGTCGGGACATTCTTCAGAACCCTTAGTTCTTCTCGCCGACCTTCCACTTTTCATTTAATTGCGCGATTAAATGAAATTAATTCTGCTTCTAACCTAAAGGATGCCTCGTTATTTCGTAGTTTTCTCAGCTCTTTTGCTCTTTTGCATCAATAAAATAAAAATGGGTATAACCGTCTGGACTATTTCTGAGAGATGGTTTTTAATCTTGTTAAATGAAGTCAATCAGTCAATTAAGCGCCTAAAGCTATTTTACCACCGTGAGCTTATATTTATATTGTACATTGTATAGAATTGGTGGGATAGTAAAAGTCTGATTTCTCTGTTCAGTTTTAACTTACTTTTTTTGTGTTTAGCATAAAGTGAAATTCACATTTGAGATTGGTGAATCATGCATTAATTAATATCCTGTTATGCGCACAATAAAAATTTTTGCAACGCTGTTTTTTGTGTCACATTAAAATTAAAACTCTATTCTTTTTTTTTACCATGCAAGCAAGTGTTACTTCTTTAAATTAGACAATTTTGTTACTACTGAAAGTAATTTAGAATTGAACGACTTTGTTATACCAATTGGTAAAAATGAAATAAAATTTATAGAAAAATAATAAAATAATAGTAAAACACCAACAAGAGCCACCGCAGAGAGATTTATTGTACATAGGTAGATGTCTTGAGTCCAGGGGCGGATTAAGACAATTTGCCGCCCTAGGCAGTTTTGATTTTGCCGCCCTAGACTGCAGCCTAATTTTCACCTTTATATCATTGTTTTATTGACCTTGTGTTACACGGTTGCATGAATTTCCACATTGAAATTTGGCTTTTTTCAGCAAAGGTCGAACTACTCGAACTACTCGATGGCTGCCGCTAACGCGCGGGAAATTCAAACGCACGTAATTTTCGGTTATAATGATTGTGCGTTTGAATTTCCGCGTGTTCGCGTCAGCGAAAAGAAGTATATTGAACAATATGTTAAAGTTGAAGACCTTAGAGTAAAAATTTTTTGTGTCTATTAAAAAGTAGTATTTTATGTAGTGTTAACACGCGAAATTTGCCGCCCCTAAAAATTTGCCGCCCGAGGCAGCTGCCTTGGTTGCCTATATGGTAAATCCGCCACTGCTTGAGTCTATTAATTTTTGTTTTCCCAATAAGCTACAAAGCGACTTTTTTTCAATTTTTATACCCTTGCAGAGCAAAGCGTATTATAATTTTGGCCAGAAGTTTGCAACGCAGTGAAGGAGACACCTTAGACCCCATAAAGTATATATATTTTTGATCAGCATCACCATCTGAATCGAAATACGTCTGTACGTCTGTCCGTCTGTCTGTCTGTCCGTCTGTCCTCCTGTCCGTTTCTGCCCAAACTAGTCTCTCAGTTTTAAAGCTATCTTGATGAAACTTTCGCAAAAGGTGTGTAGCTATTGCACGCAGTATATAAGTCGGAACGGGCCGGATCGGGCGACTATATAGGATAGCTCCCATACAAGGGATTGAAATACAAAATTCTAACGCCGTTGTTTTTGATCAGATCGACTTGATTTCTTCCACATGGCGTTTTCTAGTTACTATTGAGTTTCTGGTTAAATTTTATCGAAATCGAATAACTCTATCATATAGCTGCCATAGGAGAGATCAAAAAATATATATAGAATTAATGGAAATTAATTGATAACGTCATTGTTTTTCATCACACGACTATGATTTTTTGAGTAGCAAGTTTTTTAACTAGCCTTGATTTATAAAAAAAATTTCATAAAAATCGGACAACTATATCATATAGCTGCCATAGGAAAGATCGAAAAATCTATATAGAATTAACGGAAATAAAATGATAACATCGTTATTTCTCATCAGAAAATCATGATTTTTGGAATATAGAGTTTTCTAACGACTCTTGAATAACAAATAAAATTTCATCAAAATCGGACGACTATATCATATAGCTGTCATATGAACAATAGTCAAAAATATGAAAAATTAATAGAAAAGTCGTCGTTGCTTCGATGTTGTTTAGCCTTTGTGTATTCTGTTCGAAATATTTGATGACTGCAAGGGTATATAAGCTTCAGCTTGCCGAAGCTAGCTTCCTTTCTTGTTTTTTTTTTAATTTAAATTGTTTTTTTTAATTTTTCCAAGTTTTTTTTACAAACAACATTTTTAAAAATTCCCTCTGATTCCAGAATAGTGAAAGAGTCAGTGGAGCCACCTCACAAAAAGGCAACTTAAGGGGGGCTTCTCATGTAACATAACATGTCAAAAATTAGTTTTTTTTTTTTGGGAATTTTTTTCACTTGGAAAATTAAAACTTACACGAATAATTTTTTGCATATATTTGAAGACATGTTTAAAGTATGAGAAAAACATTTTTTGAAAATTCTAAAAAACAAAATGGCGGACTTATTCAAGGTCGCGTGTGGCGCGACGCGGCTGAGGGATTTATTGCGGTACAGTGTGGAGCCCAAAGATTTCATCAGAAATAAACAAAAAAAATTTTTTATTATTCAGCAGGGATCCACCGAGTGCATGAGTGTCTGCAACTTAAAAAAATTCGATTTTAAAATATTGAAATCACGTCTTGAAAAAAAGTGCCATTTTTTCGTCTTTTTTTTTTGCTTAATTGGGCTAAAAAGTGTATAAAATAAGTTTTTTTTTTCACAATTTCAGATATTCATGCACTCGTTCAATGTATAATCTGCAAAACACTTTTTAGAAATCAAAAATCGGTTCGGTAGTTTTTTCGTAATCGTGTACCGCGTTTTTAAAATCATAGTTTTGAGAAAAAACGATTTAAAGTTTTGAGTTAGTGTGGGTCTTGAACTTGAGCGCGTTCGTTCAATCACTCATATTATCCATTATATTGAGAGTTGAGTCATAAAACTTCGGGAATATACTCTCAAGACGTTATTCTATCGATCCATGAAAAAAAATCGATTTTTTTTAAATTTTACACGAGAAACCCCCTTAAAACTGACCATTAGGTAAACAATCGTACCCTAAGTCCAGTCCAGTAAGCTTTAAGGTCTGACCTTGCGATATATTAATCGTTAAAGCAAAATAAACTTTTAAAGGGTATTGAAGTCTTTTAAACTGAAACGGTAGATTTGATTGTAAAAACAATTTTGCCTTTACCGCAAACAGTAAAAACCACTGGTTTTATTACAATTATTTTACTTGCAATATTGCACCGTTGCATTTTTTGGAGGCCTTCAATTTCAAAATAATAGGAAACATCTTGTGGATTCTACTGGTTAAAAATTCAACCGATACTGTGATAGAATCAATCACTTCATCACTTTCTAATGATTTTAAAATTATACTTTTTATTGGCACAGATCGGTTTTTTCTAACAGTAAATAATGTATCAGTGAATAAATTCAAGTGAATAGAGTAAAAGTCTAAGAAATAACTAAATTTAACACCTTCTTTTTATACCCTTGCAGAGTTAAGGGTATTATAATTTCAACCACTCTATCATATGATATTGCTGCCATAGGAAAGATCGAAAAATATATTTTACTAATGGGAAAAAAATTATTACGACGTAGTTTTTAATCCTACGAGCATGATTTTAAAAAGTTTAGAGTTTCTTAATACAACTTAAGTCGAGAAAAAAATCCATTAAAAATTATCATATATCTGCCAAAGGAAATATCGATAATCTATGTAAAAATAAGGGAAACAAAATTATAATATCGTTGTTTTTCATAAGACAAGCATAATTTTTGGAATATGGAGTTTTTTTAACGATTCTTGAATAACGAATTCAATTTCATAGAAATCGGACAACGATATCATATAGCTGTCATATGAACAATAGTCGAAAAAATGGAAAAATAGTTAAAAAATCGTCATAGCTTCGATGTTGTTCAGCCTTTATGTATTTTGTTCGACATATTTGATGACTGCAAGGGTATATAAGCTTTCTTTTAGATTAAAAACTATTAAAAACATAAATAAAAAATGTTTTAAACATTTTACAAACTTACTTACTTACTTTTCAGGAGAGCGGCCCTACAAATGTCACCTGCCAGACTGTGGTAGAGCCTTCATCCAGCTTTCGAATCTGCAGCAACATTTAAGAAACCACGACGCGCAGGTAGAACGTGCAAAGAATCGCCCCTTCCACTGCAACATTTGTGGCAAGGGATTCGCCACCGAGTCCAGCCTGCGCACCCACACCTCCAAAGTAAGAAACGTTGTCATCATGACCAACTGCCATATTCCATTTTTACATTTTACATTTTACATTTCATTTACCATTAACCTCGAACCTGATCTTCTTGTCGAACCCTTCTCTGCCTATCAAAAACGCCGCACATTTAAATCAGGAGCTACAGCTGCATCTTGGTGTCTTGCAGCAGCACGCCGCCCTAATAGGTGGCCCCAACGCCACCTCCTGTCCAGTATGCCACAAACTCTTCCTTGGCACCGAAGCTCTTGTGGATCACATGAAGCACGTTCATAAGGACAAAAGTCCCCCACCTAGTGGATCAGGTAGGAAAATTAAAACTTTTATTAAATTAATTTATGAAGTAGATAGATAATGTCATACTTTCAAATACACCACGCAACAATGAATAAAAAGCTATGGGAAGGCTTTTTGAATAATTCAAATTGTCCAACTAAGCTTTAAGACTATTATTTACCTACATGTATTAAAATATCGAACGATCACGTAAAACAACATTTTACTCGTTTTACTTGTTTTTTACATAATACAGTCGAGTCCCGATAATTCGAAATGGCAAGGGGATCACTTTTTTTACGATTTGACGGGAGTTCGATTTATCTAGATTTCTATTTAACGGGGCTTAAGAATGAAAGAGTCGAATAAACGGGGTTTTTAAATTTCACATCATGTTTACATATGTATTTAACTTTATTAAAATTATACAAACATTATAAGTATGTACATTCTTTTGTAAAAAATACTACGAATTAACGAGGGGACCAAAATGTATGGAATTTTTACGAATTAACGAGTTTTTTTCAAGGGGACAGAATTTTTTACGAATTAGATTTATTGCAGATGGTGTTTTTAAACTACTATCGAATTTCGAATTAAATTTTATCAAAATCGGATAACTCTATTATATAGCTGCCATAGGAAATTAACGGAAAAAAATGATAAAATCGTTGTTTTTAAACAGAAAACCAAATTTTTTGAAATATAGAGTTTTCTAATGACTCTTGAATTTCGAATTCAATTTCATAAAAATCGGACAACTATATCACATAGCTTTCATATGCAAAATCGTCGAAAATACAGAAGCTAGCTTCCTTACTTGTTGGTTATTGCTTGTGAAACATAAATAAAAACCTTACAAAAAAAGTCCTTTTAAAGTTGTATATAAATTTGATTTTCTTCTGTTTAGCCTTATCTCAATTTAACGAACCTAACAATAGTTCTGCGGGAAGTGGAAGCGGAATTGGAACTGGTCACGGAGTCGAGCAAGTCTCAACCACACAATGCCTGCCTGAGTCCAACTGCGCACAAAACTCCGCCGGTGGATCGAACCTGATCGACAGCTACTTGAGCAAACGAAGGACAGCCAACCATCCATGCCCAGTCTGTGGAAAGCATTATGTCAACGAGGGATCTCTGCGAAAACACTTGTCTTGCCATGCCGAGACCTCCCAGTTAACGAACAGCCTTCGAATGTGGCCCTGTAGCGTCTGCCAGGCGGTCTTTACACATGAAAATGGTACCTCTATCGTGTTAAATGAAACATTAAATAAATAATTGTTATTTATTTTTATAGGGCTTCTTACACACATGGAGTCCATGCGCATGGATCCAAAACATCAGTTTGCGGCCCAGTACGTTCTGGTATGTCAATAAAGCGTTTACTTAGGAAGTACATACGTATGTATGTATAAACCATAGCTCGCAAATAACTGTTAACCGTTTTTTTCCTTACGTTCTGCTCGAGAGAACAACCGAAAAAAGCATGCAGTCTCGTTCTCTCTCTGAGCAGGAGACTGTGTTCCTTTTTGTTTTGGTTTTCGGTTGAGCGTATAACGATGAGCTAATCGGTTAACAGTTATTTGCGAGCTATGGTATAAACACTTGTCCCGAAAATCTAGTTTTAGTCAACGCCTAAGCAGCCCAAACGCTGGCCGGTAGAAACTTGCGTGTTTAAAACTTACTACTGTAGTGATACAATCAGGGTGTTTTCTCTTCCGTGGTCGCAGCAAAAGTGATCTTTATTTCATCATCTCTGTCAATGCTTAGCCTATTTCACACTCTCGTATGTGCAAGAGAGAGACGTACATACTTAGAGATGGGTTTACATGGTGTTTCTTAAAGGAGTAAGGGGGACATAAAGGATGACTTAACTTAAGGAATATACAATAACGTTAACTGCTTATCAAGCAGTGCTTAATAATAGGTATATGTACATAGGGCTGCTTGCTACACTACGAACTTGATTATTTCGTTGCATGCGATATGCCTGCTTAGGAATAAGTACCCCCTATTTAAAATAACGGGTGATTTGATTTGATACTATTGATACTTAGTAAATGACGCATTTTCTTTCTAACCCGATTTTCAATTTTAGTCTCGAGCGGCAGCAGAACAGCGAGAGCGGGAATCCCTCCTGGCGGTGACTTTAGCTGCCAGTAGTGGTACTGGCGGCAGAATTGGAATCGCAGACGCCGGAAACGTACTGCCTCTGGGCATTCAAAACTCGGAGGGATCCAACTCAAAGTGCCCTTCCCCTTTGGCAAACTCCGAGTGCTCCTCCAACGGCCGCTTAACGTCCTCAACAACATCCGACCAAGAACCAGACGATCATGGCTTGAGCGAGAATGAAAATAGCAACCAGAACAACATAAGCAGCGGCACGAACAACAACAACAACTGCCCAAACAACAACAACTCAAGCTCTAACAAAGTGACCGATCTACGTCTTCCGAGTTCAGGCCAGTACACGATGGACACGGATCTGCACGTCGCCAACCGAATGTCGCTGATGGCAGCAGCTGCGGCGGCCGTTGCGGCATCACGACCCCAGGAGCGGGTTGACTCCTCAACAGTGCCGAGTGCGGCGGTCCAAGCAGCTGTTGTGAATCTGGCCGCTGCCATGAGAATGAACAATTCTAGCAACGGCCCCACCGCCTACCAACAGCATGTAAGAATCATATGATGTTTTTTTTTTAATTTTTTTTTTTTCAAAATCTGTGCGCATTAGCAATAATTAAAACCATGTCAGATTTTCGCGTTATCCCATAAAAATATGTACAGTAGAATCCTGTTGTAACGACTCCGCTTATAGTGTCCGTCCGGGTCCAGTACAATAGTGCCATATTTAAGCATCAAAACCGCTGTTAGAAATATATGTATTTGTCAGTGATCGGCACCCTTCCTTGCTTGTGTGCGTAGCAGCGACACGAAGGATCTTGCACTAACACAACTCTCTGTTAGTTTTAGCTGTCGCCTTAACAACGCTGCTGCGAGAGAGAGAGAGAGAGTCGAAGTGCAATGCCGACGTCACCCTGCGTGTGCAGACCTCATAGCCTATTCCATGAGATGTCCCGCTATAATTCTAGTTTTTTCTGCTTTTTTCCGAGTAAAACTGAATGCGTCCCAAACTTAACGGACTTAACTCGAACTTTACGTATAACCGGTAAAAATAGAATCCTAAGTATATAAACTGTTACTCGCCGAAGCTAGCTATCCAGATTTTTTGTAGATTCTTTTTTTTTTCTTTCCTATAGCAGCATATCTTTTATTTGGCGTCTTTAAAAAACACTTTCAAGAGTGGTATCATGTTTTATTTGAGCTTCAAGGTTAAACAAGTTTGTCAAAGCTTGTTTTGTCCATCTATATGTCTGTTTAATTCGTATATCTAATATTCTCTTAGTACAAATAATTTTTCTGATTCGGGGATGCTAACGATTTCGATTATCTTGTCCACTTTACAGCATGGTGACCACACACAGTCCCACCAACCACATCCGCACCCACATGGACATCCGCACCATCACCACCACCAGCAACAGCAGATCCCGCAACACCAGCAGCAGCAGTTGTCCAACTTGCTAGCGCATGGTCACCCAAGCAACACCTCACAACGTTCTCCAAATTTAAATGTGACCAGTTTACAGAGCGAACCATCTACGGCCGCGTCGATCGCAATGAACATGAACGTGCATATGATGCGTGGTGCCCTCGAGCCGGACTCGGGCTTGGGAGGAATGCATCCAATAGAAGTTATCCACCAGCAACAGCAGCAGCACCACCATCAACAAACGTCCACCTATCCTCCGCCAACCACCCAGCAAGCCCACATTCCACATTCCCAGGCACATCACACATCGCATCACCATCCAGATCCGGAGACAACGTTACGCCTGCATCAAGCTGAAGCAATCCTGCGCTCCCACACTGAAGCAGCTTTCCGACTGGCCACTGGGACTGGTCCCGGCCCTGGAGTAAAAAAGGAGACGGATCAGCAGCAACTTAGCAGTAACGGCAATGCCAGTAATAGTGCTACCACCAGCAATGATCAGCAGCATCGATTTCTTTTGCATCAGCAAGAGCACCAACTGCCGTCGAGCTCTTGAAGTTAGTCGATTGAATCCGCTGAGATGGGTGTCGATATAGGATAGAGATACAGAATCAAGTACAACGATTTTTCTATTGCGTCGATTACAATTAAATCAATAGGATTCAATAAATAAGCCTATATTTAATGTATTTATAATTTATGGACAAGGTAATCATGTATGTAAATGAGATTATGTTTGTTTGTAAGTTTAAGTAGGCAACAACGCCAACTAAGTTAGAAAACGACAACATTCATTGTGCAATATATAAACTAACATCAATGTCGACAAAAACTATATGTAAAAACTTCCGTGTTATGTTAACGTTTATTATAAGAGTAAAGATAAATACACGAAATCATTTTAAGACAATTTTATTTGGTAAATGCCAACTTCCAGATCCGCTGATATAAAGTGTGTGTCCACATATTTTACCTCTTTTCTATGGCAGCTATTATGATATAGTTGTCCGATTTTTATCAAAATTTTTCTCTATTGAAGGGTAGTAAAAAAACCCGTTGTTCTAAATATCGTGCTCGTGGGATAAAAACAACGACGTTATAATTTTTTGACATTATTTCTATATATTGTTACGAAAGTTGGTTTCAAATTACTTGACCAGGTGGCAGCCCAGTACCAAAGCTGACGTCTGGCAACCCTAGGACAAAAAGTTTAGGCGAATATCGATCAGACTGATCAATGTTGCAAGCTTGTGTAATTAAGCGGGTAATTTTATTAAATTCTTTAACTCCACCCGGGAGCATAGAGCCTCTACAGTTTTTTGAAGAGGATTCATTTACATTTGGTTTTCGATCGTACTGGTGATAAGCCAGTAGCGACTTATCCCAGCAGTGGGGCTGCCACCTGGCGCCATCTAGGAGTGACGAAAAGGGGGAGATTTTCGAGGAAATTTCGATTTTCCAAGGTAAAAAACTTTTAGCCCCTCCTAAGGGGGTTATTATCTTATGAAAAAACCCTTGATTTGGTGCCCAAATTTTTTTGGGGCTTAAATATACCTGGAGTCAAAATTCCGAAGTATTACCCTATATGGTAAAGCTGCCATAAAAGCTGGCATAGAGATTATTTATATAGTACCTATACTTTATTGGTGACATTGTACTGTTGACGCTGTATCAATGGGAAAAAATCTTGTTACTACAGATTTTGAAGTCTAGTCTCTAGTTTCTACATCAAAGTTCTAACTGCTAGCCGCCTTTCTTGATTTTTGTTTTTCCAAGATCTCGACGTTCGAACAGGAGGACCAAACAAAAGGACAGTAATAGAACGACTCGTTTGATCCTTCATTATTTGTAATATATGGGTGATTCCATATCAGATTTACAGTCGATATTGAGAAATTCGATGAGATATTTTTTTCTTGCTCTTTATCGAAAATAAATCGACACGTATTTTTTATATGGCTCAGAAAATTTTTTTGACAAAGTTATGATTTTTTGAACTTTTGATGAACTGCCCTTTTTTTGATGACAGTCGCGTTTTCCAGCCCGAATAACTCGAAAACCGTACGTCGCAGGAAAAAAATATATAGGAAGTAAAAATTTCATCCTTCCTTCTTCTTTGCAAAACTTTCGTGAAAAATTTTTTTAAACAATTTTTCACCACAAAAAGTTCAAATGTTTATAACAAATTAATTTTTCTCCAACTTGGACCATTTTGATTTTTTTTTTTTTTACAGTAAATCCTTCACATTCTTCTGATGAACATACTAAAGTTTCAGAATGGTATCAAAATTAGTTTTTGAGTTACAGAATTAAATAGAATTAAAAATTCATTTTATTGACCCTTACTATGCGCGCGCGAAGCGAATTGACGCTCGTTAGAGTCGTTGGTCGGCGCACGCCCTGAGACCGAGCGCGCGGACCGTGCATGATAATCTTTAAAATTCTGTAACTCAAAAACTAATTTTGATACCATTCTGAAACTTTAGTATGTTCATCAGAAGAATGTGAAGGATTTACTGTGAAAAAAAAAAAAAAATCAAAATGGTCCAAGTTGGAGAAAAAATAATTTGTTATTAACATTTGAACTTTTTGTGGTGAAAAATTGTTTAAAAAAAATTTTTTCACGAAAGTTTTGCAAAGAAGAAGGAAGGATGAAATTTTTACTTCCTATATATTTTTTCCTGCGACGTACGGTTTTCGAGTTATTCGGGCTGGAAAACGCGACTGTCATCAAAAAAAGGGAAGTTCATCAAAAGTTCAAAAATCATAACTTTGTCAAAAAAATTTTCTGAGCCATATAAAAAATACGTGTCGATTTATTTTCGATAAAGAGCAAGAAAAAAATATCTCATCGAATTTCTCAATATCGACTGTAAATCTGATATGGAATCACCCATATGTTTCTACTTTACGTATAAGCAATCTGTTACATTCTTTTTCAAAAATTACAATCTGAAATTTTTACTTATTTACCTACACTTCTTCCAGATCATTAGCCAGGTAAAAACATCAGTTTTAACATCGTGTATATAAGGTTCACGTATGATGGTTTTTTAGTTCAAAAAATACTTTATTCAACTGTTATATTTAAAATTTTTTTTTAAGCTTTAGGGAAAGTAGTATTTTTTGTAACGCCTTACGACTTAAATCCTAAAAATATTTCTTCTTCATGCCGTCTTGCCTAATTCCACAGGATACGGGAAGAATCCGTTAGTAGGTCACAACACTCATTTTAAATTAAACAGTTTCAACTAAAAATGCTCGCTTACAATTGTCAATAAATAAATTACAGTTCAATTTTTTTTTTGTTTTAAAACGTTTAGAGTACCTAAACTGCTCTAATATACATGCATAAAATCTATCCAGCCCTTAAAATAAATTCAGCGTAAAGCAAAACATCTTATTTTGTAGTAGAGGGGGAAGCTGTAATAATATCAACATTATTACTGAGTTTTAATTCCTCGCACGATCGTTATGCCCATATAAAGTCAATATGCTATTTTATCGATCAGTTAGTTAATCCTGCAATCCGCTGCGTCCCCGCTTGTGCGGCGAACAGAAAGAGCTGGCCACACTGCCGGTTTCAGTATTCGTTTTTTCCTGCGCACGCTTTAAATTTGGCGTATTAGTGGGAGTTTGAAGTTTTGTGGTTGAGGGATCTGAGAGAAAGGTAAGTTTTAAAAAGCACAGACAAGTTATCAAAAAAAAATATTTTATGTAAATAAATATTCTTACCCTGTAGCCATCTAACTTGTGTTGCTGGTCCATACCCCTTTTGGTTGCGAGCAGCAATCCGAAATATTATTGCTGGCTTATTTGAACAATCCACATGAGCGTTTGAAAGGGAAGCGTTGGGTACAGTGCATTGATTGGCCGCACCGACATACACTCGCACAAAAGCCAATTGAGGAGTGGCCAGGGCCTTATCCTTGGCAGTGGGTTTCACTGCCAGATATACTGAATATTCAATTATTTCCTTGGTTTTTTGCGCTGGCGGTGGTTCCCAGGTTAAATGAGCGCCCTCTTTGACATCCTTTGAAATCTTTATGGCCGACGGTGCCCCAGGAAACCCCGGTAAACAGGTTTTAAAGCTTGAAATCTAAAGCAATTAAGATCACATATAAATTATATATCCAAACATCACATATATATATATATTATACGCAAAATTACATATCATAAAACTGTCATATGACAGAAAATTGTCATATGATTAAAAAAATTATAATAATAGAAAAATTGTCATAGCTTCGATTCTGTTTAGCCCTTATGTATTTTGTTAGACATTATTGATGGAAATTAAAAAGTGGACCCTCAGAAGATCCTCTACAGGATCGACGGAAACCAATATGTTTTTTTTTTGAAAATGTATTCTGAAACTACAAGAAATTATCTAACTTTTCATATACAACACGTATACATACAATAAAAAGCCTCTCCAGAAATAATCTACAAAAAAGCTCATTTTTTCGGCCTCGCAACTGGATATAACCCCTTAAGAGCCAACTCTTTCATAAACGCTGATGAAATGCTGATATTAATAGAGACTAAGAAAACCCCCTTTCGAAAAATTACATATCTGAGACACGTTAGCAATAAAATTGAAGATTTACAAACCTCTCCCCACTCCCCACGGCCACATGTGTTGATAGCACTCAGTCGAAAACGATAGGCCGTCCCTGGATCCAAATTGATGCGCGGAAATTTGCTGAAATCTGGTAGATTATCCACATCGATTTCGTCAAGTAGGGAATCACTGATGCAACTGGAATCAAAATAGCCGGTAACTGTGTGCGAGAGTTCCTTAAACACGCCTACGGTGTGCCATTTTTGGCTCTCGAAGTGACACGTTTTTTGGGCAGCGACGCCAAGTGAGTTGCCCTGAATCTGCAAAATAAAAAAGGTGAAATGGTACTTTAGGCAACAACTTTTTATATAATACAAAAAACAAAAAAAAAGACAAAATCATGATAATTCATATAAATTGTTATACCCTTGCAAAAGATATTATAATTTCAATCAAAAGTTTGCAAAAAGGAAACCATCTGAATCGATTTATACCTATTCTCTGTCCAAAATTTGTGTAGTCATTGCAGGCAGCATAGCCCGTATCATAACACTCTCTGCAAGGGTATACAAATTGAGAAAAAAAAATAAAAATTCAGCATAAATAACGAAAAGTTATTGCAGACGAACGAACTAAAGTTCTGCAAGTTTTCATTTCGGTTTGCCAAAGCTAGCTTCCTTTCTTTGTTTTCATTTTTAATTAATTCGATTTTTATTATCGTCGCCGGAATCGTTCAGGACCATCTGAGCATAAATAGTTATATAGTTAATATGTAGTAGTAATAGTTATACGTATTTCAAGAGTCAGAAACGAATTATATTTTATAAATGTTTTTTAAACTCTCCTATAGAAACTATCAATTTAAAAGTTGCATAATAATTATCAATTTAATTTTTGTGCTTAGGAAGTTATTTGTATAGTATGTTATGCTGTGACTTACATTGTTTTGTCGAATTTCAGCGACATTGTTACTTCTGGAGTGCGTTTCACTTTCCGTCCGTGGTAACAATTCCTTGACAGCCAGGTCGGAGGTTGCCAATTTTGTGGTTGTTAGGCCAGAATTCGCCAATGTTATTGCGTCTGCCGTGGCAGCTTGCAGAACTGCAGCTGAAGCCAAAGCGTCCAAGTGCGAACCATCGACTAATTAGTAATTAAAATAATGATATAATTAACTGCTTTTAATTGTAGTTTTCGGCTAGAAACCAACCGTTTTGAAAGTCGTGCGTATTCTGCAAGGATTCTTGTTCATGTTCGAGCTTCTTATCTTCATTTTGTCGTACATCTGCATTAGAGCTACCTGTCGTACAACTGAAAGGTTGCTTGTTAATTTCCATACTCTTTAAAACTAATACCTCAGCAGACTTAATTGTGGTCAGTATGGCGGCAGCTTCAGTCTCAGAAGTAGTCGGCTGATTGTAGGCATCGGTTGCTGATGTTGGCTTTACCTTTAAAAGCCCAAGCAAAAGTAGGGGTATACGAACATTAGTATGTTTATTAAGCTTTACTATTATTAGTATTTATATTTTGATTTTATTAGTTAAACTATCAGGTAAAAAAAGTTACTCGATATCACCATAATTTTAATTAATAAACATAATATAACAAATAAATAATATAAATTAATAATATACAGTATACGTTAAGATCTGAATTCTTATTGTAAGTCTCTTCAAGAGAAGATTCAATAAATAAATTTAAAGCTCACAAAAAAAAAAAAACAACTATAATTTTCTAAATTTTTTTCAAATGAAAACTACCAAGATAACATTAAATAAAAACATTATTCATATAATATTATCGCATCACTGTTATTCATATGAGTAACTTTTTACACTACACTGGGAAACTATCGATGGTCGCGCCATTCGATATTTTCGATGTTTTCATAGCGAAAATTCGATAGTATCGATAGCATTTTGCATATTTATTTAATTTCTTTCTTATTAAGGTTTTTAGTGCTGTATCAATTACTACAAACAGAAATAAAAAGGTCAAAACTATTCTATCATATCATCAACATAAAACATAAGCTGTTTCAACAAAAATCAACAAAATTAAAGTCATTTTTATATGAATTAAAAAAAATGTTGTATGCATGCATTTTAAGGGGTTATATACCTTCTTTGTCGAAAAAAAGAGGAAAGTTCGGTTTTTTTTTAGGTATGTAGCAATTATTTAATTACACGGGTGTTTTAATTTTTTGATAGTACACTTTATTAACTATGTTTGTGCAAAATTTCGTGGAAAAATATCAATTAGTTTTTAAGGGGTGGCTGTTTCCCTTAGAGGCCTTTTTGTTTTAGAGCCTTGCGGTGATAACGCTCCTGGTCGAACCGGTCAATTGAAACCATAAAAGTAAAAAAATTTCATTAGTTTACAGTAATATCTTGTGCTTGAACGAACGATTTAAAAATTTTTTATTTTTTTATGCATACGGGAACGTTTTATGCTAAAAATGAGCTTTTTGGTCTCTAGAAATTTCACTAAAAAATTAATTTCGGCGAAAAAAATTTTTGCGTGAAAAGTCGATCGTTCAAGCACAAGACAATTTCATTACGAACATTTAAAAAAAAATTTTAAGTAAATCGGCTTAGTAGTTTTCCGCCAATCGTTATCACCGCAAAGTCATTTTTCAAGAAACACCATTTCGAGATATTCGCGTTTAAAGTTTCAAGTTCCGGTTCTAGCCGCTACGAGGCGCGCGGTTAGGAGCGCTGTAACTTTTATTCTACTGCTCGAATCTCTATGAAAATTTGGGAAAATATTCTCAAAGAGTTGTTCTTTAAGATAAAACAATAAAAAAAATTTCGATTTTTTGAAAATAAAAAAAGGTATATAACCCCTTAAGCGAAACCCCGGTTACTTATAATGAATCGAACTTTGCTGAACATACGCTCTTTCTCGGTTGCGGGAACACAGAAATTTTGGAACGAAATTTTTAAATTAGAGTCATTAATTTTTTTCATTTCTCTTACCCAAAATCTTGTAACCAAACCTCATATTTTGTGCTAATGTCAGTAATGAAAGAAATGCCTAAGCACCATCGATAGTGTCAAAAAACTATCGATGGTGGCTCAGAAAGGCAAAAATTCGATACCTCGATAGTGCCATCGATTGTTTCCCAGGCGTAACTTATAGAGTATAATCATAGCATTGCAACCCACACTTACCAAATTTGTTTGCATTGCGGAAGACTTGGAAGTTTCAGTTGCAACAGCGGTAACATTTTCCGAATTCCTTATACCTGTTGTGCTGCTTACGCCAGAAACATCTTCAACAATTTCAGCAGATTGATCCATTATGCTATCCGGAACACTAGACGGTGCTGTTGTATCACGCCCAGTAGAAATAGCCGATGATACCGACGACGACGGAGCGTTTTCAATATTACTTTCTTCGCCATTCGATCTGCTGGGCTGAGCATTATTTTCGGAAAGTTTCATCAGATCACCGGCTCCATCTAGCTGTTCGATAATCTCGTCCGTAGGATCGTTGCCCTTCTTATCCGGTATTGGGGCAGGAGTTTCCGGTATACCCTCCTTTTGTAATTGCGCTGGCTGTATGATCTTTGCATGTACGCTCTTAGTTGCTAGGGTTACGGCACGAGGGCCACCTCCGGCATTAATAACAAAACTCTTTCTGGAGCTGAGAGTCGCATTAGACGCAGGAGAATTGATCGAGCTTGTTCCTGGTAACACCATTACTTTGTTCGAGATGTTTCCAGAGGCAGCCATATTGGCATTACTGCTCATAACCGTAACAGCTTTTCCTCCAATATATAATGCTGTTTTCTGATGGATTGGAGCCCCGCTTGCCTTCTGTCCAAGAGCTACTGATGTCGATGCTTGTACCGATGATATATTTCGTAGCATTTTGATTCCACTTTGGCTGGACACTACGGTTCTTTGTCCACCTATTGGCTGCAGCGGACTGGCTGTTGTTGACGTTGAGCTAACTAGACTTACAATATTTGAGCCTGCTGTAGTGCCACTGCCACTAGCAGTTGTCATCACTGTGCTGGCTGGAACGGTTCGCACACTGCTGCCAGTGGTGACAATGATGATCTGCTGATTTCCCAATGGCGCACCCTGTTTGTTTGTTATGACAAAAGCAGGCTTTCCTCCCATCATGTTTGGCGTTACCTTGCCCATTTGTAAAATATTTGAGTTCTTCATAATCAATTTGCCACTGGACATAGCATGAGGAGACACCAGCTTCAGAACGTTTCCGGAAACAATCGGTTTTTGAAGTTGATTGCCGGTGAATGTAGATCCCTAGAAACAAAAAAAGCAGGGTTTAAAAAAGGTATTCTTTAATGATTAAAAAATATCTACGAGTAAATACATATTCTTATATAAAAGGATATGCATAATATAAGGTCAAGTAAAAAGTAATCCATTATTTGAAAAATAGATGGCTTTAGTGATCTGTATCTCGCGTTGTATAAGTCCGATCTTGGTATGTGATGGAATATTTTAGGGCGTCTAAAAAAAACGTATGCAACCACGTATTTAAAAACTGCTTACCTGAGCTTGGGAAGTGCCAGAAGCCAACTGCGAGTTGGTCATAGAAATAGCATGAGAAGTATTTCCCTTTGATACGTTAAAGTTAACCTTAGGCAGAGTTTGAACAGTCATGCCACCGCTGCTGGTCTTGACAAACTGAAGCTGAACATTCGGTGCCAATGTCAGCGGCTTTTGAATAAAGTATTGTTTGCCTCCGATAGATGCTGTGGCTGGTGCAGAAGCATGAGATTGCGCAGCAGCCGTTGGAAGGGCTGTTGTTTTCAATATATTCACTGCAGAGCTGTTGCTGCTACTGCTGCCGACCGATTGAGCGGAAGCTAAACGCACTGTGTGCGAAGCGGTCGCACTGGGTACAATACGCAACGCATTACTCGAGGCTACAGAGTTGAAAACGACGTTAGCCGATATTGCACTGGGTGCTCGCATAGCCTCAGATTCAACGATACTGCCAGCACCCGTTACTGTAGTGGTTGTGGATGTCCTTAGAGCTGTTACAGCTGGCCGAAACTTTTGCAATATGCTGCTCACAGAACTGCTAGTGGACGCAACGGCAGTACTGATTTGAGGCTGTACAGAAGCGGATGATGACGTGGCCGTGGCTAAGGTACTCAAACCAGCTGAAGCCAAAGGTTTCCTTTGGACATGTAATGCTGGGGATGGCGGCGAAGAAATAGACGGCAATAGCTCGTTCGCAGATGGTTGAACGATTGTTTCCACTGGACTGCCGATCCTCTGCAAATTCTTTTCCAATTTCAAGTCTGAAGAAGCTTCTACTCCAATCAATAAACTTTCAGAACAATTTTCTTGCACGCTTGTCCCAGAAGTTTCAGCAGCTGTATTTACGCCTTGCGGCATAATGTTGTGGCTTAAAGGCTTCGAGCTTGTATTTGTTGTTGTCTGCTCGATTTTCTGGATCTGCAAAACGTAGGCGCCAGCAAATGTGGTTGCAGACCACGAGAGTTCCAAGGCGTGGGTGGATGCGCGAACCAATGCAACTTTAACCGCGTAAAGTGGCTTCGAAACTTCCAGATACCAGAGGTCCTTACAGCAAACCTGACATTAAAAATGTATAACTTTATAAACGCATAAATAAATGATGTTTTTAAGTCTTCCTTGAAAAATTTAATGAAAACAAGAAAGGAAGGAAGAAAAGGGCAAACACACCCCCAAGGTTAAGTTCGTAAGAGTAATGTTTGGATTATGAATCATCCGAATTGCTTTAACATAAAAAATTTTAAACATAAATACGGGTATAAAAAGAAAAATGTAGCTTCGGTAAGTATAAGTATTCACATTCTGAATGATCTGTACATGTACGTCTGCCTGTTTCTATGTAAACTACTCTCTCATTATGCTATATCGGACATCATTATGCTATATCGGCAATCGGACGACCATATCATATAGCTGTCATATGAACAATATGGAAAATGAATAGAAGAATCTTCATAGCTTCGATGTTGTTTAGCCTTTATGTATTTTGTTCGACATATTTAATGACTGCAAGGGTATATAAGCTTCAGCTTGCCGAAGCTAGCTTCCTTTCTTGTTTAAAATTATTTTTCCAGTCTTTCCTGAGGGCGCTTGATGTTAAGATCCAGATCTTTTCTACTTTTATACTACTACAGAAAGAAGACAACCCTCAATTATTATATTCAAGCTTTGCTTTTTGTAAATGAGAAGTTTTTTCAGCAACAAAATATCTCACCCTAACCTGGTTGTTCCATGCTTTGCGATAACCATCCCGTCCTGACCACACGTAAAGGCGACTTTGAATACCAACTGCACAGTGGCCAGCACGAGCACGCGGCACATTTTCCTCAATAGTGTCTAACGTGACATTGTCCCACGTCATGGTTTCTGAAAATACATAATTTTTTTAAATTTATTAATTAAGCTAAAACATACAACATTTTCAAAAATAACATTCAGATCCGATTAATTCTAAATCAATGTTATTTTTCTATTTAATATATAATTTATTTATTTGTAATGATTCTCTATATTTCAAATATGTTATTTGAAAATTTTTTGGTTAAAAAATCGTTTAAATATTTTTTTCCAATATACAGTAGAATCCGGTTATAACGACTTTCAAGGGACCGACCATTTTTCGTCGTTATAACCGGAAGACGCACTAAGCAAAAGGAGGAAAAAAAATATTTTTTTTGATTATTTTATGGTTGCTGTGTTTATAATAGGTTTTTAAAGTAAATCAAATTAATTTTTTAATTAAAATGAAAAATTTAATAAATTAAATTTAAAAACATAGGTTTTTCTAAATACTGAAAACTGAATGAGCTTATTATTGCACATATTGCATTTGGCAAATTAAAACATTCAGTTTTACTCGGAAAAAAACAGAAAAAACTAAAAATATAACGGCACATCTCATGGAATAGACTATGAGGTCTGCACACACAGTGTGACGTCGGCATTGCACTTCGACTCTCCCTCTCTCGCAGCAGCGTTGTTAAGGCGACAGCTAAAACTAACAGAGTTGTGCCAGTGCAAGATCCTTCGTGTCGCTGCTACGCACATAAGCAAGGGTGCCGATCACTGGCAAATACATACATTTCTAACAGCGTGTTTTGATGCTTAAATTTGGAACTATGGCACTGTATTTTTTCCGGCACGACGCAATATCCGGTTAAATTTTTCAATTTTCTTGAAAAATTTCATTCTTATAAGCGGTTTGTCGCTAAAAGCGGAAACGCTCTAAGCGGAGGCCCTTTCATATAACTTTGTATGGGGACCAACCAAACCATCGAGTTTTCGACGCACAACCCGGACGGACACTATAAGCGGAGTCTTTAAAACAGGATTCTACTGTATGTACATCGTGATTATAGTCTGCAAAAATAATTACAGTTGGGAGAAAAAAATTGTAATTTCATGATATAAAATCCTTCGTCTATTCTTCAAATAGTGGATTAGCTTTAAAAAAACTTAACTTAAAAAAAAAAACAAAAAAAGAGAAGGAGAGACCTCAGACATCAAATATTCTTGATCAGCGTCACCTTCTGAATCGACCTAGACGTGTGTGTATTCCATATGTTTGCAGTATAAACCACCATAAACAGAAGGAGTGCGTCACTAAAGTGTAGTTTTTAATTTAACGAACAGACTTACCCAAATCAAGAACTGCAAGTGTGTTTGTACACTTCCATTCCCGTTCTGTCGTTGATTTGGAATCATTTATTACCAGTGGAACCCAGCCCCCGAAAACATACATTTTATTTGCAATCATTGTGGAACTGTGTAAGGAGCGAGGTAATGGCGTTTGGCCCAGAGTTATTGGCTTCGACCACGTCATTGAGTCTAAGGAAAAGGTGGATTCGCATTAAAGAAATGAATACAACGAAAGGCATCTACTATATAGCAACCTGTATCCAATAACCACAAATCTCCCAAACGGCACCCACTCATTCCTCCGTAAATTAAAAGGTTTAAGCTTCCAGTTCTTTTACTCGCAAACGAAATGCCTGTGTGAGACTCCCGAGGCGGAGGACTGTCTCCATAGGTTTTTGGCACTATCCATTTCCCATTATGACTGTGGACTCCGCGAGTATCCAGTATATACAAATCATTTAAGTACCTTTAAGAAAGTTTTGCTAAATAATTCAAGTCCATTGGTTATTAAAACAAAAGGATAAGACTTACTTTGGAATATTGTTTTTTGGGTCATCAGATTCATTTGCTAATCCGCCAAACAGAAATATCTTTTCACCAACCATTGTAAAACTGTGACCCAAGCGAGGGCATGGCGATAGCCCACTGTCCGGTGATTCTGGGTACATTTTTCTCCACTCCCATTTAGTTGCCTGTAGTTCATATAGTTCATTTGAATATTTTCCGTATTCTATCATGCCCCCGAAGACAAACATGCGGGTTCCCTCTACAACGAATCCATAAGCAGCGCATCCATTGGGTACATCGCCTTTTAGCACGGGAACATACCATTGATTTGTTACTGAAAAAAGAAAAAGCTGCGATACATTTCTGAACAAATTGCTTTAATCATCGATTGAATATGAAGATTAAAGTAGATATAACGTGTTTGTATACCCTTGCAGAGCAAAAGGGTATTATAATTTCAGTCAGAAGTTTACAACGTAGTGAAGGAGACACCTCAGACCCCAGAAAGTATATATATTCCTGATCAGCATCACGAGCAGAATCGGAATACGACTGTACGTCTGTCCGTCATTGAGTTTTTGGAGAAATAAATTTGAAACCGATGAAAGTAGTATAAATAGGTTCGAACTTGATGGAAAAACCATTAATAGTCGCTCTAAAGTCCAATTCTTGAACCACAGATGAACTACCAAAAACCATTAAACATGCAGAAGAATAAATTATGGTTTGGGATGCATTTTCCTGACCTGACCAATGGCTTAATGGGTCGATTAACCCTTTGAGGGGCAGTGGGAAGTATACTTCCCACCTGTTTCTTTGCCGTTTTTAATTAATCTCTTTCGCACTGCACTCGTTTTAGTAAAAATATATTATCATTTAGACTCTCAAATACTTATAAAAAGTTATGAAAAAAAAATTTTCGTGAAATTGTTATTAATTAATTAGTTATAAAAATTCAAACTTGAAAAAACGGTCGTGTTTTTTAATAAATTCAGCTGTGTGCAAACTACAGGTGCAAAAATTATGAAAATTTTTTTCTGATGAGCATATACATTGAACAAAAACATATGTTTTTTTCAGAATTTTCGGCAGGCTAGTTTTCATGAAAAAATTTTTTGAATAAGTTGAAAATAGTGTTATTTGACGAATCTTTCCGTTTGATTTCATTATTTGTTACGCGGCGAAATTCAAATATCAATGGTTGTACATAGGTTTTTGGGGTTGCTGATAACGATTTTGATATCAGTAGATTAATATCCAAAATTTCACAATTCCGATATCAGAATCGTAACCAGCGACCCCGAAAACCTATATACAACCATTAATACTGAAATTTCGCCAAAGAGAAAAATGTGCCCCTCAAAGGGTTAAAGAACTTGGATATCCTGTAGAAGGAAATGGAGCCATTTGTTTATAAAATAATGCCGTTTAAAGGGACTTTTATGCAATTTAACGACTCAAAGGACTCTTCTGGAGTCCATAACAAACCTCTGCAATAGAGAAAAATTTTGAATTACTATAAGAAATTTTAAAATTTGGATGATTTGTGTGCAGGAGTTCAAGAAGTTTGTAAATCTATCTGCAAGGACTCTTGTCGAAAGGACTCTTGTGTGAAGCGGTGGAGCTTAACGAAGGATTCCGTACCAAATAGAGACGAATAAGACCACCGGCTTAAAAAAAAAAAACATTTTTGAAAACTTTGCGCTATTTTTGTGTCCATGTTACAGAGTTTACTTAACTTAATTTACTTATCCCTTATCCTGCTAGGCTGCGTTTTAGATAACAAATTGCACATTAAAAATTCAAAAAATAAAAAATAAAAAGAAATAAAATAAAATAAAAAAAAAAATTATAAAAAAAATATTTTGCAAACATATGACTAAAATTATAATACCCTATGTAAGGGTATAACGAATGCAAGTCTGATTTTAAGAATATTGTTATATAGTTTTTTGATCAAAATCGGAAGGTCGTAACATATAACAGAACAGAAAAATCAGAAATTATTGAAAATGATTAAGAAAATCTTCATAATATAAGTGTTGTTAGGTGTTCGAGCATTTGCTAAAATATTTTGCAATTGGCTACGAAAATATATATAATATATATAAAACTTCTATTAAAATCGTGATTGTGTGATGTTAGAATTTTTTTCCATTAGTTTTATAAGTATTTTTCAAGAAACCTATTTGCAATAGTATCTCTCAAACTGAAATAACAAATTTCGTAAAAAACTTTTTTAAAAAAAGACACAAAAAAGGCACAAAGACGCAAACGTCCTACAGTCGAGTCCCGAATTATCGTACCCCGCTAAATCGAAAATCGCGATAATTCGTAAAAAATTCTGTTCTCTTGAAAAAAATATCGATAAATCAAATTCCCGTCTAATTCGTAAAAAAAAGTGATCCCCTTGCCACTTCGAATTATCGGGACTCGACTGTAATTTCTATTTACATTTTCCTGTGGATATCAAATTTTCATTTTTCAATTTTAATTACCAGTGTTATAGACGTGTAATTCATCAACGATTCCTTCATTGCCACCGCCAAAGACAACCATTAGCTCCTTAATGTTTATGGCGCGATGCCCATGTCTAGGACGTGGCTGCGGTCCTGTTGGGTTAAGGACCCGTTTCCATCGGAATCCAGATAAATTGCTGCCCAAGTGGGCTTCATCATTTTCCTCCACATCCATAGACATTTTCTTAGAACAGTTGGCTTGGAGAATCTGTTCTTTATTTTGATCATCAGGTGTGGATACCCGGACTCCTGAAGAAATGGCTGAACCCAATAATTCCGAACATTCCATTTTATAACCATAAAATTTGATAGAAAATGTTGAAAAATGTTTTACTGTTCACCGCAACGCATCATTTGCATTAACTCAAATTAACCTGAAATTAAAAATTTAGATAAGAATTTAAAAATAGGAAGAGTATCTATATAGATAGATTTTTCAATCTATCTTATATGATTAAATAGGTCGATTATTTTAAAATTATTTTCTTCATTTTCTTTATTTTATTGCAGAATTTAAACTTGTATGTTAGAAAGCAAAGTTTAATTTTTTCATTCATTTCGAATACATTTTTCGATCTTTCCTACGGCAGTTGTATGATATAGTCATCGGATTTTTATAAAATCTAAGTCGAAATTCAAGAGTCCTAAAATAAATGCCAACTGGAACAAATCATGATCATGATGATCGATCTCTCCTACGGAAGCTATCCAATATAGTTATCTGATCCGGACTTGTAAAATAATACGCAACTAAGCAAGCTTTGACAAGCCGGTGCTGATATACCATTTAAAAGTATAAAAATACCAACTGTTTATGTATACCATTCTGACAATACCCCCTTAAAATACTAAACTACTTGAGGTGCACAATAACTCTCCAAAAAAATTTTCGACTGGCAATGCCGTGTATAGACGCTGCGCTATTAGTGCACTAGATCCTATATTTAAAATCTTAATAACTTTCGTTACTATAATTTCTCGAAATCTCGAAAAGCTTTAATATCCAATAAGCTTTTGTGCATTACCGAACGATTATTATAACTTAATGACCACAATTCTTTGCATAAATTTTACGAAACCAAAAGCCGAATAAAACAGCACAACGCACGCACTTATTAAATAGAGGTGGGAATACTACAACACGGTAGTACAGATTAGAAATCGATAAAAATATCGATAAAATTAGTGGCTCGCATTGACCGAAAACATTATTGTTTCCACTTAATGCGCTTATCTCACAAACACGTTCCAGCATAAAATTTTCGGAAACGAAACGGAATGAAAATGATAACATCATTGTATATAATCCGACAAGCATATTTTTTGAAATATAGAGTTTTCTAATTACTGACGAATTTCGAATAAAATTTCATAAAAATCAGGCGACTATATCCTATAGATGTAATATAAACAATCGTCGAAAATATGGAAAATTAATAGAAAAATCGACATACATAACTTCGGCGTTGTTTGGCTTTTATGTATTTTGTTCGACATATTTGATTGCTAAAAATCAGCTTCCTTTCTTTTTATTATTTACAACAGCTATGGTACTTTATTGAAAAGGCTTTTTTTTTCAGTATATATCTTTTGAACGGTACCACTATCACCATATTTTTTTGTTTATGTTTTAAACTTAAGCTTTTATATATTTATAGGCACGACATATTTTTGTAAATTGGCCAAAAAAAAAATTCTTTTGAAAATGTTATATAATTTTTTGAATCTTGCACCGTTTACAAGATATCGAGCCTTAAATGCCGGATTATAGTGCAGTATAATAACAAATATATGTCCTCAAATCTTGTCGCCCCAATAACTAAAATCTCCCCTGTTAATATGTCTAATGTATATAATATAATATAATATAATTTATTATATATATTTATCCATAATATATATACATACATATATTTTTTTTTGTGTATGTTTCGTTTAAATGAGTACTATCGTGAAAAGCGGCGTCAACGAAATGTGTTCCAGTTTTCGGTCGTAGCGTAAGCCCGTCTTTTTTTTCTATCAATTATGGAAAGAGTAGCTCCACTAAGCACATCTCAGCCAAATTTTTTTTGAAGATTTTAATTTTTTGTTTCCAAAGAACTTCACGGTTTAAAAAGATTTAAAAAATAAACAAGTTGTCGCTCAAGAGTCAACAGTGCTTAGTTATTTATGAAGTTATTTCTACTGTTATATAACAGATAATCATTTGATTTAACGGAATCCATTAACTTTCTCTTCCCATAAGTCAAAAAGCGTGTATATGGCAGCGTACTACGACACCAATTGGTAATATAAAGCAAAAATAATCTTTAAAATATTTTTTTAAGTTTTAAAATGCGGAATTAACCTGTAAACTACATAGCTTCACCATAGTGTAAACAGGTCTTAACTTTCCTATATTATTAGTGTGCTTCTTTCTTACACCACTATTTTTGCTATTATATTATAGTAGTATATAATTCCGTATAATTTTTAAATGTGAAGTAATAAGTTTTTAAAAAATGTTATAATATGATTTGTATTTAGTGTTGATTTAATTTCATAGTATTTTATTTATATCAAGCAAAAGCAATCAATTCCAGTGTACATATACAAATGTGTATGCTACTTATCGCTCAGGTAGATTGGATGCCGCAGTGCTAACGTAATAAAGTCAAACAATGATAAGTTGATAACGGCGATCATCAAGACAAACAGCTGAACTGCTATCTGTCAGATACTTTTTATCCGTACACAAAATCTACAAATAGCGCTGCCGTTTAGCTAAATGAAGCACTAAGTTTTATTCAGTCAACTGTTGCAGAAAAATCAAGGTGAAGTCAAAAAAACCAAGTGTCGGTGTTTTTCATATTCACCGAACAAGCGAAAAAATATATTGCTAGTGCAGTGTTTAAATATCGAATAAGTTTGCTAAAAACAGTTTTTTCGATAGTGCAAGGTATCGATATTTCCTACAGTCAAGTATAAATATTGCTGACAAATAAGGCGTCGCAATATTATAACTTTAAACTAAATATTTAGCTACGTTTCGCGGTGTTTTTACTTGATTCGTGTAAAGACTACCAGTACCAATTGTGTATGTATGACATAAAAACCTTAAGTTGACAAGAAAAAAGGTAGAATATGTATAGGAATTTGGGTAATTAACCTAGTCCGCAAAACATTGTGGTGGCACATACTTGTAAGCTTATTCAAACATATAAAATAAGCTCTCGAGTTGTCGGTTTGTGATGCTAAAAATTGGCTGATATCGAAGGTAGAAATCAGAATCAATAATATAGTGTGTATAATGTGCTGTTGCTGAAGGTTCCCCGTATGTATGTAATGACGTATATCTATATATCTTGTTCTGTTGCCAATGTGGCCAATACCAGTCCAGTGTGTATGTAGCCTATTTTGTGACGTATGACGTAAGACTGCTGATTGCGGGGCGTTGGTATAAATTAAAAGGTGCATCATTATTGCAAACAATTAAAAAACTGTTACAGTTTTACTCTTTTGGCAAAAAGTTTCATAAATACTGTTAATTCAAGATGTGGCGGTTCAAAACAGTAATTTTCATGAGAAGGCGTGGTATTATAGTCCATACATATGCCATTATGTACATATATATACATACTTATTTGTATTTGTATTAGAACCTATATATGTAGATTCCTAATGTGCAAAAGACTGATTAATGTACCTCATTTACACATTGCATATGCAAGAATCAGGCCCAATGGTCCAAATATATACATTAAATTTAAACTTTTTTGCAGAGGTTGTAAATCTATTAATGGATAATGTCCATAAGTAAAGTTTTATCACAGCTTTGTTAACGAAAATAGTGCAGCCAATAAAATTAGAAGAAGAACAAGAACTGTATTCAAATGTTTTGGTCTTTACTGTTATTTTGTCACAAATTTTTTCGGCCTTAATCAAAGTTTTTTGTATCAACAAAACACTTTTTAGCAGACTGAAAAAAGTACTGAATTTAAAAATTATTAAAAGGGTTTATTTTTATGAGCCTTACTGTATGCATACCCAGGGTTTGAAAAATTTCGGTAAGATTTAGATTTTACTGGTATATTGTACTTTGACGTCACGTTTTATCAGATTGACAGCTTATCAGTGTGCCACAGAAAATGTATTTATTGTCTCGTTTTTATACCCTTGCAAAGCAAAGCGTATTAAAATTTCAGTCAGTAGTTATAATAATAATAATAATAATACAAAAAATTATAACGTCGTTGCTTTTTATTCCACGAGCATAATTTTTACAACATCGACTTTTTAAACTACCCTTGACCGAGAAAAAATTTCATAGGGCGTTAAAGGATCATCTTACAAAATAAAGGTGATATTCGTTATAAAGATAATGAATTTCCCGAGTTAATCAGGAAGAGTTTTTTAACAAATTTTTTTTGTCTATTTTTGGGAGCACTTGAAAGTGAAAAGTGCGATTTTAGCTTAAAAAATCGTTGTTAATTTATTTTTTGAAAATAGAAAAAAATTGAAAATAAAAAAAAAAAACTCTTCCTGATTACTTGCGTATTTATGTGGGGAATTTGTGTTAAAAATTTGAAAAGGATCGGTTAAGTAGATTTTGAGTTCTGATGTTCACCGACTTTCAAAATAAAAAAAATAAAAAATCGATTTAAAGTATTTTTATACGTTAAAATACGGCCAAATTTAAAACGTTGTAACTTTGTTAGTTTGATTCTAATTGGCTTAAAATTTTTTCGCATTGTTCTCGACATATTGCTCTCTTAGAAAAAAAATAAAAAAAATCGAAAAAAAAATTGTTAAAACCTTTTTGAAAAAAAATCATAACGACTTAATTTCTTTCAGAAATTGTTTTTAGCTACTATCGAATTAAGTTTTATCAAAATCGGATAACTATATCATACAGCTGTCATAGGGAAGATCATAAAATGTATTTAGAAATAACGGAAATAAAATAATATCATCGTTGTTTTTCGCCAGAAAAGCATAATTTTTTAAATATAGAGTTTTCTAACGATTCTTGAATTTTATTTTATAAAAATCTGACTACTATACTGTATTGAAAATTGATGACAAAATCTTTGATGTTGTTTTGCCTTCATTTATTTATTTACTTTCTTCCTATAGCAGCCCTTCAATATATGGTAGTCTGTAGATTGAAACATATAGTGTTTTTTTTCCAGAATTGTTGGAATTTGTATTTATTTTATTTTATTATTTGTATTCATAATAAAAACCTTCCTCGGGTATAAATTTGCAGATGGTATTCATATTTTGTTCGAATTTAAGCAATCTGATTCGACAAGCGATTATAAAAAGTTATTTCTGCTTCCATGGCCCTTTATCCATCGTTTATATCTTCGCTGCCATATAAATTATCAAATTAATGAAAAATTCGACAAAACGTTAGCGTATATAAACTACAAACTATTTGACTTTGACAATACTATTTTATATTATTTTATTTTTATATTTATTTCAGATTAGTCCATAACAAATGGCAACTATAGATGGAAGACCGACGCAATATGGTATTTCACTCAAACAACTGCGCGAGCTCATGGAGCACCGTGGTCGTGAAGGTGTAATAAAGATTGCGGAATTTGGCGGTATTCATGAATTATGTAAAAAGCTGTACACATCTCCAAATGAAGGAAAGTTTCTATTTTTAAAATGTATTAAATTTTAATTAAGTACAAGCTACTAAGTAAAAATATTTTTTTAATTGATATTTAATGGTATTTGTATGTCATATTCACTGTAGAAAAATCGACATATTTGTACTAAATTAAAACAAATTTGAATGACTTAAGGGGTTATCCTACCCCTGACCGTTTAAAAAATTCAGTTTTTTCAAAATTTTTTATATAATAGTAAAAAGTGTAAGGAATGTTGTCCGAAAATTTCAAGTCGATCGGAGGAAAACTGTAGAAATGGGGGAAATTTAAAGCGCCGTTTTTCCAGAATGTTTCAAAGGGTTTGAAACTTTGAACGCGTTGTTCTCGAATCGACTTTTTCAAAGTCGGTAGTCAAATTTTCTCGAAAACTATTGCACCGATCGACTTCTCCTTTTGCACACTTCTTTTAGACATGTTTTTCTCGTATTTGAACGAAGGGTTTTTTTTTTGGTCAAATAGAACTTATTTTATAGGACGAAATATGGTCAAAATGTATGCAAAAAACGTCATTTTTTATAAAAAACGTTGTAAAAAATTCAATTTTTAATTTTAAAAAAATCCTTCGTTCAAACACGAGTCGGACACATACACTTAAAGAAAAATTTTGGATTTTTGATTTCAGATGAACATTGGCGGAGAAAATTTGACTACCGCCAGGGCACTATTTTTGATGGGGTCAACTTTCAGGCATTCTCACTCGCTCATTTTTTAATATTTTCTTTTCAAAATTTTACAGATTATAGTTGAAGCATTATATATTCATATTCAATAAACAAAAATTGTAAGAATATCCCAGGAGCTTTGAAAAAAATTCACGAAAATAGGCCTTTTTTTGGGCCTCCAGGGTAGGATAACCCCTTAAAACAAACTTGATACGAAGGCCAAGGCCAAATTTTTATAAAGTCAAAAAGAAATTATAAACACTGGTAAAAATACCAAATGTATAAATACCAAATGTATTTAATACTGAATTATTTTTTTAACTGTTGCGTAGATTATTTTATACCAGTGTTTATAATTTCTTTTTGACTTTATAAAAATTTGGCCTTTACCAACATTATACAACCAGTTTATGGCTAAAGATGTATGAATTATATCGTAACGTAGAAATGTATTACTTACAAGAGCTACGTTGTTTAATTTACAAAATTTAAATGCGGTATCCAATTTTTCTATCCTTTTTTGACCCCATAAAAAAACAATACAAAAGGAAAACGCAAATATGAAGTTAAAACTTAACTACGGTTGATTGTATTTTGATTTTTATAACATATTTTTTGTAACTTTAGGTCTTAGTGGCTCAAAAGCGGACGAAGAACACAGGCGCGAAACATTCGGCTCAAATGTAATACCACCGAAGCCACCGAAAACCTTTTTAACACTCGTTTGGGAGGCTCTTCAAGATGTAACCCTTATTATCTTAGAGGTAGCTGCATTAGTGTCGCTCGGCCTTTCATTTTATAAACCCGCCGACGAGGATGCGCGTAAGTTTAAATTTAAATGTGACTACACTAACTAACTAATTGACAATGTTTAATTTTTTTAGCCGTTTTGCAAGAGGAGGAGGAGCACCATGGTTGGATTGAAGGATTGGCCATTCTTATTTCTGTTATTGTAGTAGTTATAGTAACTGCTTTCAACGATTACTCAAAAGAAAGACAATTCAGAGGTCTGCAGAACCGCATTGAGGGTGAACATAAGTTTTCAGTTATCCGAGGAGGAGAAGTGTGCCAAATTTCTGTTGGAGATATTCTTGTTGGCGATATTGCACAGATCAAATATGGAGATTTATTGCCAGCAGATGGGTGCCTCATTCAAAGTAACGACTTAAAGGTACGATTAATAAAGAAGAAGAAATAGTTGTAATATATACGGATATATAATATATATTATACAACAACGCTGTTATGATTAACTCGATCTTAATAACACATCCAACTAAATAATTGATAACTTGAACTACAGATTCGAATTGTTCTGTCTTGAAAGTCATGTCTATATGATAAAAGTAACTACCCAACTTTTGGTTTCATCAAGATAGCTTTAAAAAGCTTTTTTTCTCGTTAGAAATATGTTGTACTAACATGTTTCTTTATAAATCAATTATATATTATATTTTAGTAAGGGCACACACATGTGATGTTACCTTAGCAGCCAAACTTGAACTGGCGCTCTCTCTTCTCTCGTGAGAGTGAGCACAGTGTTGTATAATACTTAAAGCTAATATTGCACAGTGTTGCTTAGGACTAACTTACTACTACAATATTATAGTTGTAAAGCCAAATAATATTTTAGGCTAAATTCCTAATAGTAGTGTTTTATTTACAAGCCTTGTTATATAATTTCTAGGTGGACGAATCTTCTCTGACTGGTGAATCAGATCATGTCAAAAAGGGAGCCGACGTTGATCCTATGGTTTTATCTGGCACGCATGTTATGGAGGGAAGCGGCAAAATGGTTGTGACCGCTGTTGGTGTTAACTCTCAAGCTGGCATCATTTTTACGCTTCTTGGTGCAGCAGTTGACGAACAGGAAGCTGAAATTAAAAAGATGAAAAAGGGTTAGTACTTCAAACAAGACATAGCCTAAATAAATGGCTGGAATGCAATTGAAACCTATTAAAAGCCAAATGACGGTACTCTGATCGTTTTTTACAAAATGGTGTCTATAAAATGTATTACATTTTTATTATTTATTTTCCTTTTATTGTTTTTTTTCCATATTCCAATTGTCATATGTGAACTGCATGATGTGAAATGATCGACCCATCATCCTTCACCTACCCAATCAACCAATCAACCAACCTACCAAACAAAACCTGCGACCAACACCTACCAAACAACCAAACAACCAACAAATATCTACAAATAATAAAACCAAAACATAAATGAAATGGAAACATTTAACGATTTAATATCATTCTTGATATTCAGAAGCTAAAAGGGCCAACAAGCAAAAGAGTCTGACAGGTGAATTCTTCATAAATATTTTAAACTATTATTTTTGTGTAATATAAAGATTCCTGCAAATATTTTAGGGACTGAAAACAGTAATTGATTTTAACTAAAAATTATGGTTAAGAACCGAAGTACAATTACAAAAAGTCGATCTTAAATATATAAACTACGATTTTTATACCCTTGTGAAGGAGAAACCTCAGTCCTCATAAAGTACATATATTCTTAATATGCATCATTATCTGAATCGATCTATACGTGTGTACCTCTGTCCGTCTGTCTAGTTTTAGAGCCCACTATCTATATATAAAGTATTGTATCAGGATCTTCTTTATTCTGTTCTCCTACAACTTTCAATACGAACTGACTCGCTGTTCGCAGGCAGCTAACTTTCAACCCCCGTTTATGTTCAGCTTCTTACTCTCTCGAGAGAGCACATCCTCTCTCGAGAGATCAGAAGTGTGACCAGCGTTTACAAAATAGTCGGAACGCGCCGAATCGGACGACTATATCGGAAAGCTTCCATAGAAGAGATCGGAAAAATAACAGCAAACAAATTATAACGCCTTGTTTTTTTTATAGACATGGTTTCTTCCAGATGGTGATTTTTTAGGACTCTTGAATTTCGAATTAAATATGAATACCAGATGACTTTATAATATATATCGAGCAATATGGTCGACATTTGTGATGACGGCACTGGTATTCGGCGAGCCTGAGCTACCTTTCTTTCATGTTGTTATAAAATGTAAAAATAATTATTACGCTGTTGTATTTTATGGTATTGGCATCCAGATGGTATTGAGTTTCGAATTATATTTCATGACAATCGGACGACGATATTATATTCCTACCATGGAAACAATTACAAAAATCATAATAAATTAATACAAAACCCCATAACTTAGTTGTTGTTAAACCTCAAAGCAGTTATCTCGAATTTTTTAAATATCGTGCGACTAGCAAACATGACGCTTGCATGGAATGTTTAAGAAGTCTTTATAAAATATTATAAGTGAAACAAAAATTATACCATCATAGATTTTTACCATTGTAGAAAAAACCTTGTTATAACCGATTTCTAAAGATTCTTGTCTACATTTATGTTTTAACTGCAAGGGTATAAGCTTCGGCTCGCCAAAGATATTTTCTTTGTTCAAAATTAAAAAAAAAAAATTGTACGGAACTTTGCAGGTGAAGGCGAAGGACGAACACAGATTAAACAAGCGCAAACCCAACGCCAAACAGTGACTAGTGAGGGAACCAAATCAGAATCTGAGGGAAATCATGTGCCGCAGTCGACATCCACGGCTGCCGAGACAGGACATAAAAAGGAAAAATCTGTGCTGCAGGCAAAACTGACGAAATTAGCTATACAGATTGGATATGCTGGATCTACTATTGCCGTGCTCACTGTTATAATTCTTATTATTCAGTTTTGTATTAAAACGTTTGTGATTGACGAGAAGCCGTGGAAGAACACCTATGCTAATAACTTGGTAAAGCATTTGATAATCGGTGTTACAGTATTAGTAGTGGCTGTACCAGAGGGTCTTCCCCTGGCCGTAACCCTATCACTGGCTTACTCGGTCAAGGTAAGCTCAAATTTTATAAGCAAACCATAATTATTATTAATTTATTATTATTTTCTTTAAAGAAAATGATGAAGGACAATAACCTGGTCCGACATTTGGATGCTTGTGAGACAATGGGTAATGCCACTGCCATTTGCTCTGATAAGACTGGAACTCTAACAACCAACCGTATGACTGTCGTACAGTCCTACATCTGTGAGAAGTTGTGTAAGGTCTTGCCTACCCTAGCTGATATACCCCAACATGTGGGCAACTTGATTACAATGGGAATATCCGTTAACTCCGCGTACACTTCAAACATAATGGTACGACTTTAATGTTTAATTTGTAAACAGATCTTGGCATTAATATGTTTCAATTTCTTTATAAAAAAAGGCTGGGCACAACCCGGGTGATTTACCAATTCAGGTTGGCAACAAAACAGAATGTGCTCTTCTGGGCTTTGTCCAGGGGCTTGGCGTCAAGTACCAATCGATTAGGGACGAAATCACAGAGGATAAATTCACCCGCGTGTATACCTTCAATTCTGTTCGCAAAAGCATGGGTACTGTGATACCCCGTCCAAATGGAGGATATAGATTGTATACTAAAGGTGCTTCCGAAATCATCATGAAAAAGTTAGTTCTACTTTTAGGAAGAAAAACAAAAGTCTAATTTGTTTTTTTTTTTTTGTTATCAATATAGGTGTGCTTTCATCTATGGCCACGAAGGAACCTTGGAGAAGTTTACAAGAGATATGCAAGAGCGATTGATTCGTGAAGTTATTGAACCAATGGCTTGTGATGGACTGCGCACCATATCTGTGGCATATCGTGACTTTGTGCCTGGAAAGGCCGCCATTAATGAAGTGCATATTGATGGCGAACCCAACTGGGATGACGAGGAAAATATTATGACGAATCTAACATGCCTCTGTGTGGTTGGCATAGAAGATCCGGTGCGTCCCGAAGTACCAGACGCCATTCGAAAATGCCAACGTGCTGGAATCACAGTGCGCATGGTCACTGGAGATAACATAAACACGGCGCGTTCAATTGCCAGCAAATGCGGTATTCTGCGAGCCAATGATGATTTCCTTATTTTGGAAGGCAAAGAGTTTAATAGGCGCATTCGAGATAACAACGGAGACGTATGTATTAAGTTTACTAGTTTTATTTTTAGCACAGGTTTCAGTAATGATATTTTTATTCACAGATTCAACAACATCTTATTGACAAAGTATGGCCGAAGTTGCGTGTTCTTGCACGTTCATCTCCAACAGACAAGTACACGTTGGTCAAAGGTTGGTTCTGTTTTTTTTGTTTTTACATTTTTTTCATCAACATTTTTTATAATTTTTTTTTTTTTGGGAAATTTTTGTGAATTTTTTTTTCTTTTTGAAATTTTTTGGGAAATTTTTGTGATTTTTTTTTGAAATTTTTTTTTATAATTTTAAAGGGTAATTAGTGAAAGTTGTAGGTTGGGATGAGACTGAGTGTAGGCATTGCTAATTTTTAAATTTATTTGATTGCTACTACAAAAGAAATCAAAAAAATGTAAACGCAGTAATTCAAATAAACTTTTTCTTAAATAATATGACAAAGAAAAATTAACTAATCTACAAAAACAAAACAACTTTTCATATAAAACTAAAAAAACAAGACAGTTTTAAATACAACAAACCTAAAAAGGGGACTTTCAAATCCGTTTCTTTCTGTATACTAACGCGAAAATTGTAATTCTTTTTCAAAAGCTAATAACGTTTGCAATTTAAATTTTTTTTTTTTTCCTGACCGTAGTTCATTTTATGCCTAATACTGTACACTTTAAGAATTTTTCGGTTTTTGTGATTTAGATTACACATTTTGGCTGAATCACTTCCGGTAGCGGGACACCTCCTCACCGACATGCCGCCACTGAGGAACGTCCCCTCCCGCCCCTTTTTTGATTTTTTCAATTTAAAGTTTTTTTTTCTCATAATAAATGTGAGGTCATATCCAGAAAAAATATCAGCTTTTTATCTTTAAACGTTTTCTTAAAAAAAAATTCTAAAAAAAAAACTTTTTTGGGTCCACAAGCTGAGAATTTGCCTTAAGTCGTTTTAATGAATTTACCTTTAACTTACTTACTTCTATCGTTTTAAATCCAGTATTTTACTATTATACGGTTTTTTTAAAATAACTTTCTGGTTGACTTAGCTTGGTAATTTAGGAAACGTCCCAAAAAGGTAAAATTTGAGAAAACTGAAGTTGCCCTTTTAATTACACAGTCAAAAGGATAGAATATCCTTCGTTGAAAAACACTAGAAGATAATCGAATGAGTAATTTTTGTGGCTCAAACACAGGTGTTCACGAAAGCAAAGAAAATGTTTGGGCCAAATATTTTAGTCTTAGTGTTTGGTTTTAGACATAATATATAAAACTGTTGTGCTTTTTAATATATTTAAACATATTTAAAGGTTTATTTATTTATTTATTTATATATTTAAAGGTATTATTGACAGTACTGTCAGCGAAAACCGTGAGGTTGTTGCAGTAACTGGCGATGGCACTAACGATGGACCAGCTTTAAAAAAAGCCGATGTAGGCTTTGCCATGGGAATTGCTGGAACCGATGTGGCCAAGGAAGCTTCTGATATCATACTGACTGATGACAATTTTAGCAGCATTGTTAAGGCTGTAATGTGGGGTCGAAATGTTTATGACTCCATCGCGAAGTTCTTGCAGTTTCAACTGACTGTCAATGTGGTCGCTGTAATTGTTGCATTTATTGGTGCGTGTGCTGTGCAAGACTCTCCGCTTAAAGTAAGTTATTAAAAATATATATATTTATATATATTTGTCATATTTATATTTATTTATATATATTAGGCAGTCCAGATGTTGTGGGTTAACCTAATAATGGACACCTTGGCGTCACTAGCATTAGCAACTGAGTTTCCGACACCAGATCTTTTGCTTCGTAAACCTTATGGCCGCACAAAACCATTGATTTCCCGCACAATGATGAAAAACATTTTGGGTCAGGCGCTTTATCAGTTGGTTATCATTTTCGGTTTACTCTTCGTCGGTAAGTTTTATTCAACATTGTTTTATTATTTTGAACCTTTGTATAAAGTTTCATAACTTAAGTCAGTCCGTCACTGTTTTCCCGATTGTACTTTATTTTTAACGTGTTAAATTTTTAAAATTTCCAATACTTCAATTAAAAAACAGTTACCGCATGAGCAATCGGGAATAAAAGACATAACAACATAATTTTTTTACTAATCATATACAATAATTATGGCATATTTGGCTTGTTCAACTTTGGGGCTCAGTTTCTCCCCTTAATATGGGGATATTTAAATTAAACAAAATTTATTTATATAATATAATTAATTAACAATACAACCAAGTCTGAGCTTCGAATTACAGATAATTGTTTAAACTGCAAAGGTACATAAGCTTCGGCCTTCCGAAGCTAGTTTAATAACTTTTCATTATATGTAATTTACTTTTAGGCGATTTAATTCTTGACATTGAATCTGGACGCGGACAAGAGCTTAATGCTGGCCCAACACAGCACTTCACCATTATCTTCAATACATTTGTCATGATGACACTGTTTAATGAAATAAACGCCAGAAAAATCCATGGACAGCGTAACGTTATTGAAGGACTTCTCACAAATCCTATTTTCTACACAATATGGATATTTACAATGATATCACAGGTACTTGGCTTACCATACATTTATAAGACTTTATATATTAATAAATATTTATCACTACATTTAAGGTTTTAATCATTCAATATGGAAAAATGGCCTTCTCCACAAAGGCCTTGTCACTAGACCAATGGCTATGGTGTATATTCTTTGGAATCGGTACCCTTGTCTGGGGGCAATTAATAACTTCAGTGCCTACAAGAAAACTACCCAAGATATTATCGTGAGTAAATGTTTAACGTTTATACGCTTCAGAAACCCGCTTATGAATGGACTTTGACCAAAGCTCAAACTAGTTGAAGAAGTATTCTAAGTATTATTATTCTAAGGATAGATCCTTGTATGGTTAGTCTTACATTATATTTGTTGATCACTTTGGACGGCTAAACACTTTAAACTTTATAATTATTTTATGAAAATGCATGTATTAAAATATAATTTAAACAAATATTTTTAGTAGTTATTTATTAAAATAATTAATACCGGAAAGATGTTTGTTAGTCATTCTCGTTCATGTGTCACAAAGAGGTAGAGGAGGATGTAGAATGTAGAATTCAAATATTTAAGCTATTGTATAATTTTAAGTATGTTTAAGTATTTTACATTTAAACACATTACATTGTTGAATTTGAATACCCTCGCAGAGGGTATTGTATCGGAAGTTTGCAATGGAACTAAAGAAAAAAAGTAAATATATTCTGCGTCACCAAAACCTTTTGAGTCGATTTAAAAAACGTACGTCTGCTTGTCTGTCTGACATAACCTCATTGTTCTTATATATTTATGAATCTACTTCAAAATGTAACAATTCGTCCAAAAAGTTGTTTCTATCAAAATTGCGTTATTGTATCATAGAAAAAATGAAAACAAATTTAATGCAAAAATAAGTACTATACAGTAAACCTTATTGCTAATGTTGCTATTGAAATATGAGCCTATTGCTAGCGTATATAACTTTCAACACACTGCGGCCAGCTTCCTTTCTTTTTTATTTTAGTTTATTTACCAATACATATTTATAAAAGCTTAAGTGGTTTTAAATATTTATAAAATCAGGTCGCCATGTCAAGTAAAAAGTAAGTACTTTAGTAAGCGCACACACACGTGATGTTTCCTTTGCAGCCAAACTTGAACTGCCGCTTTATTCAAGATCCTCTTCCTTCGTGCTCTCTCGTGAGAGTGAGCATAGTGTTGTACAATACTTAAGTCTAATATTGCACAGTGTTGCTAAGGACTAACTTACTACTACAGTACTGAGTAAGTCGTCCGGAAGTATGAACCGAAAAGCGTAGATATTGTTCATATTCTTTCTTAATCCGTATCATGATCGAGTTGTCATTTATTAAATTTTGCAATATTTAACGAATTAGTTTGCTGTAGATTGCTGTACCCCATACTACCCATAGATACTGATTAGGTTTAAAGATATATACGACCGTCAGATTCGACCGATTTAAAGGTTTGTGTATGTCTAAAAATCTGCAGCCCATTGACTTTCAAGTGATGTCTTTAGATTTGTGTATAAACCGCATACCGTTAATACTGTTAATGCTTAGCCTATTTCACACTCTCGTATGTGCAAGAGAGAGACGTACATACTTAGAGATGGCTTTACATGGTGATTCTTAAAGGAGTAAGGGGGACATAAAGGATGACTTAACTTAAGGAACATACAATAACGTTAACTGCTTATCAAGCAGTGCTTAATAATAGGTATATGTACAAAGGGCTGCTTGCCACACCTTAAACATGCTTTCACTAGGGTTTTGGCCTACCGTTTCCGACCCGTTACCCTACAGGCATAATGCATAATTTTGGCATCGATCCGAGACAATGGGATAAACCAACTTGTCATTTATAATATTATATCGTTATTTATATATTACATTAAATTTTATCTCTCAGAAAAATCAACTTCCATCCATAATTTCGACGACTTTTACACCATCGTATTATCAGAATCATCATCGCAAATTTTTACAACTGATACAATTGGTTTATGATAACTGAAGTAAGAAACAAACAGTTTTGATTCGAACCTATTGGGCACTTCAATGAGTGCGAGTGAGAGGGTGTTTTCCCGTAAGTGCGAAAGAAAAAGAAGAAGATGATGTCGTTTTACCCTTATGCTGTGCACGGGGTTTAAAAAGGACTGTTATATGACCATGAGTATTAATTTTTAAAATTTTTGGTTTTTACACAAAGCTGCCCTTCAGGACTCGCTCCCATATTGTTCACATTTCACAATATTTTTTTGCAATATTACATGTTACGCCTTGTATGTGCTTGCTGCAATAATTGCAACAAGTATTTTTCACAAGCACACAAGGGTTAACGTTTTGTTCGTTCGCGGACAACCTCTCACTTCGAAATCCCGAGCGCACTGAACCATAGGGAGAAAAAACCCGAGCGATTTTGCAGCCGACGAGACTACCTTGTATAATTCTACCATGACTCAGGCACGGTAGAAAGAGTGGGAGATACTAGTTCCTCTCCCTTCCCCTCGATATTACGCTTTTTCGATCAGCATAACGGGACCCTGACGCGAGTTTGAATGTTTTTACCCTGCTCAGCGCCGCTAAAGAAATTTTCACTTCAAAATCCTTTTTGCAATAATTGCAGCAAGCAGATACGAGGCGTAACATAGATTATTGTACAAAAATGTATAAAAGGGCGGACAACATGGGAGCGAGTCCTAAAGGGCAGCTTTGATTGAAAACCAAAAATTACAAAACAATTAATTCTTATTGTCATATAAAAGTCCTCCTTAAACCCCATGCACAGCATAAGGGTTAAACCACTCGCTCTTTTTATACCCTTGCAGAGCAAAAGGGTATTATAATTTCAGTCAGAAGTTTGCAACGCAGTGAAGGAGACACCTCGGACCCCATAAAGTATATATATTCTTGATCAGCATCACGAGCAGAATCGGAATACGTCTGTACGTCTGTCCGTCTGTCCATCTGTCCGTCTGTCCGTTTCCGCGCAAACTAGTCTCTCAGTTTTAAAGCTATCTTGCTGAAACTTTCCCAAAAGGTGTGTAGTTATTGCACGCAGTATATAAGTCGAAACGAGCCGGATCGGCCGACTATATCGGATAGCTCCCATACGAGGGAATGAAATGAAAAATTCTTATGCCGTTGTTTTTGATCAGATCGACTTGATTTCTTCAAGATGGCGTTTTCTAACCACTATTGAATTTCGGATAAAATTTGATGAAAATCGGAAAACTCTATCATATAGCTGCCATACAAAAGATCGAAAAATATATATATAAATAATGAAAAAAAATTATAGCGTTGTTGTTTTTTATCCCACGAGCATGATTTTCAAAACATTGAGTTTTTTAATAACCCTTGAATCGAGAAAAAAATTTCATTAAAATCCGACAACGTTATCAACAGGAAAGATCGAAAAATTTATCGAAATACGGGAAATAAAATTATAACATCGTTGTTTTTTATCAGAAAAGCATAGTTTTTGGAATATAGAGTTTTCTAACTACTATTGACCTACGTATTAAATTTCATCAAAATCTGACAACTATATCATATAGCTGCCATATGAACAATAGTCGAAAATATGGAAAATGAATAGAAAAATTGTCATAGTTTCGATGTTGTTTAGCCCTTATGCATTTGATGAGCATTCATCAAATATGACTGCAAGGGTATATAAGCTTCGGCTTGCCGAAGCTAGCTTCCTTTCTTGTTCTGTTTCTTACTTACAGAAAAACACTCTTTCACTCGCACTCATTGTAGTGCGCAATAGGGGACTGACGCCGGCGTCGGGACTACCATGTAGTTATTATACCATGACTCAGGCACGGTCATGGTACAACTATACAAGGTAGCAGGGGCGCACAGAGGGGGGAAGGGGACAATTTGCCCCGGGCCCCGGCTTATGGGGGCCCCGCGCGATATGATATATGATATATATGATGATATGTAAGGATTGACAATCTCCCAAAATTGAATTTTTAGCCCGGGCCCCAGACTACCTCTGTGTGCCCCTGCAAGGCGGTCTCGACGGCTACAGAATTGTTCGGGTTTACTCCCCTATCGACCCGAACGCTCGGGTTTTCGTAGGAAAACACTCTTTCTCTCGCTCTAATTGTAGTGTTGATAGGGGACTGACGAGCCGACGAGACTACCTTGTATAATTGTACCATGACTCAGGCGCGGTAGAAAGAGTGGGAGATACTAGTTCCTCTCCCTTTCCCACGATCTTACGCTTTTTCGATCAGCATAACGGGAATCTGACGCGAGTTTGAAAGTTTTTACCCATACAAAAAAGTGCTCAGCGCCACTAAAGAAGTTTTCACTTCAAAAACCTTAAAAACTTATAAACAAACAAAAACCTAGGAGAAACTATAAATTGTTTTATAAAAGGTGTGCAGCTCTAACAGTGCTTATTTTTTTTTTTTTGTATCGACGCGCGTGCCCACGGCCACACCTCCCGCCCAACCGACCGAGGGGCGCTGCCGTGTATCGTACGGCTCGGTTATAATGGAACAGGTGTTTTATATAAAATAAAGTGAAATGGGTACTACATTTTATATTGGCAGAAAATCATTTACGATCTTTCTGGATGTATTTGTTTATAAACATAGAACGGAGCCCTGTTTCTGTGAAAGCGGAATGATGTCCACTTTGTTATGCCTTTGCAGGGTGCATTAAAAATTCAGTCAGAAGTTTTCAACGCAGTGAAGGACACATCTAAGACCCCGAAAGGTGTATATGTTTTCGAAGAGACTTTCTTTCTTTAAAACTCTACCAAAAGTTGTGTAGTTATTGCAGTATATAAATCGGAACGGACCGAGGTCATACAGAAAATATTTAATTATTACGCCGTTGATTTTAATCATGATTTAATCATGTATATCGAAAAGACCGAAAAATCTATTAAACTATTATTGGATATCGTTGTTGATAAATTTGTGGTTGTGTTGACGTTGAGGTTGGTGGGAGAGTAGAGAGCGGGGGCAGCGGTGAGGTGCATTGCTCGCTCCAAGGTAATTGATCCATAGGGAGAGCGGCTGGTGTGTTTGGCGTTGCTTGTAAAAGCGCGGGAGAGCAAGAGCGTGCTCTCTGAGGCTGCACTGAGAGAGTGCTATGTGCACTGTTGTTGTCGGCGCTTGACTTTATTGTACAGTAAGCGTTGTTGATGCTTGAGCGAGGGCGCGCGCTCTGAGTTTGAGCGCAACGCTCACTCATTTTTGTTTGGAGCTTGCTTATTTGTTTATAATAGGTTTAATAGGGTAAACACAGGGTTTTTTTTGTGTGGGAAAGCGTCTTTTCGCTGGGGTTTGTTGGGTTCACTAGTGGGCCTATATTTTCGCAGTTGGATGCTGGTAAAATAGGAGTTTTCACTGAGCGATTGAAAAACACGTCCATACGCGGCGGCGTTCGAACTCGAATTTATCTCCTAAGACAGCAATAATCTGTCTGCGAGATTCCGCAGCAGTTTTTCCCTGTGCGAAATAAAATTTCATAATTGCCCGAATTTCTGCGTTTGTGAACTCCATTTCAATCGATTGAAATTTTTTAAAGCGTAAAGCGTGGAAGCTCATGTAAACAAACTATATGTCATTTGAAAGGCGATGCCAATACCTTTCAAACGATCTACAGCATTGCCAGATACGATTATATTTGACTTACCCGGCTTCGCTTTAACATTCTTGAGTTTTTCTCTAAGACAAATTCTTTTCATGTTAAATGTTGAATAAAAACTAACCAATCGCCCTTAGTTAAACCCGTAGATTTTGTTATGTATACCACTTCTCCCAATCGGACCATAATAGCTGATATTGAGATTCATATGTTTATTTCAAACTCTTTATTATTTCAGCTGGGGTCGCGGCCATCCAGAGGAGTACACAGATGCCATGAACTTGGGTGAGGAGCGTTTCGATTCAATTGATTCTGATAAGAAGCCAAGGGCTGGGCAAATTCTCTGGATTCGGGGACTGACCCGGTTACAAACCCAAGTAAGTGTCAAACTTAATTTATTTTTGACAAGAAATTTCAAGTAAAACTATTTGATTATCAAAAAGAGGATCAAAATATTATTTCTATGATTTTTCAAATTGGACTTTTTAAGATTTATTTGTTTGTTTTTATCTTTTTAATCACAGATTATACATAACATAAGATTTTTTATGATATCTGGTTCATAATTGACACAGCAAACTCACTATAATTTCATTTTTGTTCTGTAGACGCCGACAAACTATAGGCACACTTTTCGAAATTGGGCTCCATGTTAACTTAATTAATTGGTTGACTTTAAATTAAAAAATCAAATATGTGCATTGCACTTTTGGACAAGTAGAAGAAAATGTGAACTGATTGTTTATGAGTCTTCATTTTTACTTTAAATATTTGGTTATCTACATTTACATTTTACATTACATTTTTTTTTAATTTCAATCTGGTTTTACTTAAATTGTGTTTTCTGTCGGTAGGAAGGCTTCACCTAGTAAGAGTATGAAAAATTACTTCTATATTTTTTCTCATGTTTTTCTTTTCTTATATATTCAATTATGTTATTAACTATGTTTTTTAAATAAAGACAAAAGGCATGGAAGCTTTACCTATTAATATATAACATTTATTCGGCAAGCCGAAGCTAACTTCTACGATTTAAACAACGATTATGTGATGTAAATATGTTGTAAAGGGACAGTTAGTTAGTTAGGTAGTTACTCTATGTTGCGTTTGTCTGTTCTTTTAGTTTTCACTACTTTTGTAGATTGATTCATATGAGAACTAAAGGATTTTACATTTACATTACATTTTCAATGTAAAGCTACAGCTTAGATATATATTTCATACTCTCTATCTTTAGTCCTTCGATTCTTCTTCCTCTGTCTGACTTTTTATCTCTGCCTACTTCTTGTCCATAACAAAATTGGCCAGCATTTCTTCTGTAATGTTGTTTTAGTTTCCTCTGATTTGAACATGTACATATATTAAAATTGATAACTGAAATTCTTCCGATAAATACAAAATTGAGACTGTTCTCTTGTGTTGTGGTGGTATTTTATCTACACATTTTCTATTTCATGGCCCTAGCACTTACGTATCCTAACTTCTGCTACTAATACAGCTTAAAAAAAAAAAAAAAAAAAAATAGATATAAGAAGTCAATCTCGGCTCGGTACCACACAATTTGGATAAGTTTTATAACCTCGTCTTCTTATTTTAATTCAAAACATATTTATTTACATCTATTGTGGTATTTTCCTTATTTATTTTTTCTTTTATTACTGCCAATATTAATAAAAATTTAAATAGCTTTGTAAACAAGATGCATGTCATGTAGCCAAAGTTTTAGTTTAGGTTTACCTCTATTTTTAATCCTCTGTATGCCTCAAAGTTTATGGTTTCATGTTCATTTTATTATTATTAAGAAATAAAATTAAATACAACAATTTTACCTTTTGTTACCTAGCTACTAGATACTACCAATCGAAGAAAGGACAAAACATTAGTGTTCTATAGGCTTTTAAGTTTCTATATTTCTATATTTTATTATCGATACTAAATTGCAATAAAAGTATAAAAGTAAAAATATGGGAAATTTGACAGAGATATTCTAATCTTTTATCCTCGGAATAAAAGTTTCCTGGGTTTTTTGCTGTGTTCCTGCATAGAATTTTTACCGAGTGGTGTTTATATACTTTTTTTTTTTGTTCATAGACTTTTGTTCGATTCCTCCAGATGTTTGTTAAACATCATCTTTAATGAGTAGTTATTAATAAGCAAGTTTTTATTACAGGTTAACTAATAAATTCGTTTAAATAAATTCAGTCGGAGGTTCATAACGCAGTGAAGAAGGCACATCCGAGGTTATAAATATATTTCTGATAAGCTCCATCATCCGAGTCCATATCCATATAGCCAGAAATGGTCTGTCCGTCTGTTTTAAATCTATTTCGTTGAATCCTCCTCGAGAGGTTTGCATCTTCCTTTGTTGTTGTATATTCAAACAAAAAATAAAAGGAATCAATTTTAAATCTATATATATATTAATTTAAAGAAGTAGAATTTTGATAATGACATTACTTAAAAAAAGCCTTATATTGTAAAAAAGTTTTCCGGCCAAACAAATAGACATTTTATCAGAATAGATTTTTATATATAACTTGAAGCATTAAAAATCAATCAATTTGAGAAATTGAAAAACAATTGTTTATCTATATCAAAAAAGCCAAACATTTTTTTTATTCCATAATATAGTAGGAGTAATGTTTGGGGTCCCACATAACTTATTTTTTCCAACCTTTTCAAAAAAGTTGGAAATTTTATTTAATGAATTAACACAATTGGTTTTTAGACGAAAAATATTCACAATTTCAAAAACCCCTCCTAGTGCACTATTTCTGGAACAATTGGTAAAGAATTTACGACTAGATCAAAAAATGCGTCTGTGAAATGAATGCGTTTTTAGTAAGCGCTCACACACGTGTATTCCTTTGCAGCCAAACTTGAACTGCCGCTTTATGCTTTATTGAAGATCCTCTTGCTTCATGCTCTCTCGTGAGAGTGAGCTTGCTTCATGCTCTCTCGTGAGAGTGAGCATAGTGTTGTATAATACTTAAATCTAATATTGCACAGTGTTGCTTAGGACTAACTTATAACTACACGTTTAACATTTTTGATCCGTAAAAAGTATTATGTTCCTACTTATTTTTGTTTCAGAACTGGTTTGAACTGCTTTTTGATCCAATAACACTGTCCTACACAGATTTTGCAACGGAGTTGGGGTGTATTTTTTTTGTGTTGGCGGTGACGAAATACTACAAAAAACATAAAAAAAGGGTTAGTTAGCCGTAGAAATTTCGCAGTAGTGGCAATTTTGTTTTTTCACAAAATAAAATTACTCCTACTTTCTCAAATTCAAACTGAAGTGTTAGCTATTTATATATATATTGATAGAGTTTATCAATACTTTGTTTCAAAGGTATGACTATCACGCAAATTAAGCGTTCAGATGGCGTTTTCAAACTATTATTAAATTTCGGATTAAATTTGATCAAAATCGGATAACTCTATCGTATAGCTGCCATAGGAGAGATCAAAACATATATATAGAATTAATGGAAATAAATTGATAACATCGTTGTTTTTTATCCCACGAGCGTGATTTTTTGAATATCAAGTTTTTTAACAACTTATATTGAGAAAAAAAAGTTTCATAAAAATCAGACAACTATATCTTATAGCTGCGATAGGAAAGATCAAAAAATCTATATAGAAATAACGGAAAAAAATTATAACATCGTTGTTTTTCATTAGATAAGCATGATTTTGGGAATATAGCGTTTTCTAACGATTCTTGAATTACGAATTAAATTTGATCAAAATCGGACAACTATATCATATAGCTCCCATATGATCTATAGTCGAAAATATGGAGAATGAATAGAAAAATTGTCATAGCTTCGATGTTGTTAGGCTTTATGCATTTTGTTCGACATATTAGAGAGGGTATATAAGCTTCGGTTTACCGAAGCTAGCTTCCTTTCTTGTTTGACATAATAAAGGAAATTGAAATAAAAAATTAAATAATAACAGTTTATTCAGAAACCAAAAATCAAAATAAAAAACTTCATTTATTTATCTCAGTATTCAAATTAATTCAAAATGAAATACTTATGTTATTCAGACTTTCAGTGTTCAAACTAGTAGTAGTATGGTAAATAGTAAATAAATTGTTGTTGAGGAAACAATAGTTTCAATTCAATTTTACCGCTCTGCAAATGCAAACAATAACAAATTTGGTCGAGAGCCGTAGCCCTTGAAGAAAATCATTTGCTCAGCTTTCACCTCGCTATAACTTTTCTACTTTACTACTAGGTTTTTAAACGCTGGTCGGAAGGTCTGCTGTGTAGATTATATACATTATTATATGGTCCAAGCACGCTTCCTTGAGGTACTCCAGCTTCAATGGGATGGTATTCAGAGAGAAAATCTTTACGTCGTACTGCGAAACTTCTTTACACAAGATATGACTCCAGTATTTTGCGGGTGTTCTGTGGTAGCAAGTTTGTAATTTTATAAATCAAGCCGTCCAACCAAACGCGGTCGAAGGCCTGGGCGACATCCAGAAAGACTGCGGAACAGTACGCACGACTGTCAAATGTATTTCGTATCTCTGAGGTTATTCGGTTTACTTGTTCAATGGTTCCGTGTTTCTCACGGAAACCAATTTGGTGGCTTGGGATGGCATTGTGGGACTTTAGGTATTCCATTCTACTTTTGCTTTTCAAATATCTTTGATACGTACGGCAGAAGACTGATTGACCTATATGATGAAGGCTGGGACTTGTCCTTTCCGGCTTTATGGATCATACCGAGGACAGACTTTTTCCATTGTTGTGGATAATAGCCCCATTTCATCATACTATTGAGTATCGTGCACAGTTCGGCAATTCCATAAATCCAATGATGACCAAAAAATATTGGTGTATTTTAAAAAAATATATATATATTAGTTTTTTTGTATCATTATTTTCAATTGTGGTGGGAAGATTTACTGCACAGTTCGGCAATTCTGTAGATATTTTAGGAAAGATTAGATCGTATCCGTGTCCTGGCGTCTCTTTTTTCTTAAGCCTCTATCATACTTATCACTTCCTTTGATTGGAATATGATAGGCAGGGTTGCCTCTGGAAAGATGTTTGTTCGGAGCACAAAGCTATTTGTTGATGGAAGTGGTTTGAAAACGTTTTTTAGATTTGCGGCAAATACATTTGCCCTCTCTTCGTTGATGTGAGCCCATTCTCCTGTTTGTGTGTGCAAAAGCGACTCACTTTCGATTGGCACATATACCTGATTTAGCTTTCCACAATGGGTATCGCCTGCTGTTTGGGGAAAGATGCCGCAAATATAATTGGGATCAATTTGTTTCATCTTCTAGGCCTGTGCGTAAAAGATAGTTGGCTGTTTTAAGCCGCTCCTTCGAGGCAGGCGAGTCACAGTC